CGCGCGCAGTATGCGCCACGCCTCGGCCAAGTGTACATTGTACGACTTTAAATAAAACATATTTTAATAAAGAAAACATATAACACGTGCTTTGCTATAATTCAACCACATGAGATTTAATACATTTGCTCCTTGGCAACTATCCTGATTAACAAAGTGAAACCGTATTCCTTTGGAGATAACCTCGCGCGTTGCTTGGAGCCCTGGCTCGTAAGAAAAAACAAAAGTAACAAGCTCGAACGTTGAAAATAGGATTGGGATCATAAAGGTAGATAAATGCTTCATTCTGTTACTAATAGTTAACGATTTATTGTACATTCAAAAGTAAAGAAACGCGTAAGGCTATAATCACGCAGTAAGTGACGGCCATATTTGATGAACAGCGCATGCGTAATGTACATAAGGCAAGGATAGAAAGGGTCCATAGCAACGTCGATCGTCCATTGATATTTCTCATACTAAGAATAGGTCAGAAGGACTTGGTAGTTCTTCCAATAACACTGTTCTACAAATTCAATTTTTTTTTTCTGTTTTTCAATATCCACTAGGTGATTCTTGTAGAGCTTTGTACCCTAAACACGAATCTGAAAATGGAATTGCTGTATCACCCTCAGTTTTCGAAAAACACGAGTTTTTGTGAAAACGTACAATTTTGGGCAAAAGCGAGGTATTACGCGAAAATTAAAAACATCAGACAGTTCCAATTAATCTTAAAAAATAGAGGAGAGATTCCTGAATATGCTAACATCGATAATTATAATATTTTGTACTTTTGAACGGTTGTAAATGATCGCCAAAGTTTGAAAAAGTATCGAAGTACATACTTTATACACAATACTTTTGCATATTTACGAAAAGTTGTTTACCTGACACGAAATCTATACACAGGATCTGATTCTGCAGACATTTCTGAAGAAGAAACTGACCAACAGAAGTGTAAAAGCTGTTCTCAATTGTCACAGGTCGAGAAAATGTGTATTTGCAACGCGTGCACGACGTTTGACCGCCACGCGGCCATCGCTCGCTTATCTCGGCGCGGCAGTGCTGTAGCTACCTACAAGCGAAACTGGTATAATGGTGCAATAGGGTATGCACTCTGTATATACAGTATTGTCTCTCTATAGCCGCGCGTGTCGGGACCAGGCGCACGCAACTTGAGAGACGAGTACCTAGTCTATTCGGCTTTCTTTGATTTCAAGCTCGAGCGTTCAAGGGGGATGGGGCTCGTCGACTTTTCTTCGGCTTTCTCTTTGATATCCGATACCCGATGTCGCGGCGCGGTGATTACAAACGAAGTAGTGGGGATAGCTTCGCGTCTATAGAGAATCCGAAAACGCGCGGCTATAGAGAGACAATACTGTAGTATGTTTGATTTTTTTTTTGTAACTTTTATTGCTTAATATATTTGTATACTCTAGGATACTAATCACTGAATTATATTTTCAAAATCAATGTAAACTTATCAATGGAATCACTCGAACATGTACTACGCTTTTCTAAGAAAGATCTGGTGGAGTAAATCCTTGCTATTCACACTTCGCTCTTAGGAATATTATTCCTAATCTGTGAGGCAACCCAACAATAAAATGTTGTTTATTTTTTTACGGCTTTATATTTAAAAAACCATTCATATATATACAATGAACATCGAAATTGTTTAGAAATGGAAATGATCGAGAAATGTTTTGTACAAATCCACAAACAGATTAAAAAATCAAAAATGATAAACATATACAGGAACTAGGAGCCTAAGATATTATCGGTGTCGCATCCATTATGCGTAGCTACGGCACTGCCGAGCCGTGGTAGGCTAGCGATGGCCGCGTGGCGGTAAAACGCCGTGCACGCGTTGCCAATACACATTTTCTCGACCTGTGACAATTGAGAACGGATTCTATACTTCTGTTGGACAGTTTCTTCTTCAGAAATGTCTGCAGAATCAGATCCTGTGTATAGATTTCGTGTCAGGTGAACAACTTTTCGTAAATATGCAAAAGTATTGTGTATAAAGTATGTACTTCGACACTTTTTCAAACTTTGGCGATCATTTACAACCGTTCAAAAGCACAAAATATTATAACTATCGATGTTAGCATATTCAGGAATCTCTCCTCTATCTTTTAAGATTAATTGGAACTGTCTGATGTTTTTAATTTTCGCGTAATACCTCGTTTTTACCCAAAATTGTACGTTTTCACAAAAACTCGTGTTTTTTCGAAAACTGAGGGTGATACAGCAATTCCGTTTCCAGATTCGTGTTTAGGGTACGAAGCTCTACAAGAATCACCTAGTGGGTACGGAAAAACAAAATTCGTGTTGAACAGTGTAATTGATCGTTCGATAATATTCTATTATTCTCTGAAATTTGACTAGGAGTATTCTTAGCAGTTCTCCGTGAAAGATACGAAGATCTCGATCGTTCCATAGATGCATTCAATTATTCAAACAAGAGCAAACCAGTAATGGATTCCTCTGAAATCATACGACGTTAATGATTCTAGTTCCGAGTCTATCTTTGCCGTTCGCTGAAAACTCATTTTCAATTTACAAATTTAATTTATCGTAGATCGCCAAAGTCTGCGAAAATCAAAGTTTATAAAGTATATTAAAGCTCGTTATAATTAATGTTAGGTTATTGGAACTCGTAGCGACAAAAAGAAGGAAAATTATACTACATGACGTAAACTCGAAAAATTACAAAATGGAGGTGCCATAAATAAATAAATACAAAACAGACAGTCTGGAATTAAAAAATAACTGATAATTACTTTTTCAAGACATTGTTTTCGATAACAAGCGCGAGGCAAACGATATCAATTTCGAACGAACATCATTATCCTTCGTTAAATAAACTGTGTTATCTTGTTACAAAACGCAGGCAGGCCGCTGGCGGAAGTTAATACAACATTACAATTCTAAGTGCACTGACTGGTGTGCGTTCGGTAAATTGCAAATTCACAGATTCGTCGCGATCCTGCAGATTGTATTCCGCTGGTCTCTATGGAAATGCGTGTTCAGCATGCATACTGTGCACCATGAAATATGATTGACCGGGCAAGTTGCAGATTAAGAGGTGCACGCATGTTGATTAAAAATTGAAAGAAAATCCGATTTCACTCGTCCGTCTTCTTTCAGGCTCTGTGGAAATATTCAATTTATTCTGAATATTGACACGGTTTCATCGGAGTTAAAAATCATTTATATCGACTTACAAGTTGGTGTTTGTTGGCAGACCTGGCCACTGGCTGAATTAACACTATTTGAAATGTTATTATCAAACAACATGTTATTTTATTTTATAATAATATGCCTGCGTTCACTTCCCAAATAACATCATTTGAAATATTATAAACATTGTTCGTAATTCTGTATTGGATAACATATCACAAAAATAAAAAAAGAAATTGAATTTAATTGCAATTAAATTCTGTGTTTTCAGTTATAGTCGAAGGTTAATTGCAATGTAAAACGTAGTTAATTAATTCCAAGTAATATCTTAAGCTTTATCGATGCATTCCTGATTAGACAGTTTATTTTATGGCATCCATCGTTTAGGGATTTAAGATTAGTAATTTACGTCAATCAGGTGGCTGCCATTGGATGTCAATGTCATAGTCCATCTAAGGAAGATAAGATACACGAACCAACCGTAATTCAACCAACCCCGCTGCAAGACCTTAGATAAAGCTTAAAGATCGCCTTGGGGTTAGAAACAGAGTTCATTTTGTAATTTCGCACCACGGTAGTTACGGGAACTGTAAGTCGATCCGAACGTTAATCTTGTTAGGCCTCGCGACAAACTAGTTTTGTGTATTGTATGTAATAAACCTACGTTCCTGCAACTTCGGCCATTTCGTACATTAAATCCTCAACAATCTTTGTGTGACAATAGAAAACTCTAAATGTTCCCCGACTGCATCGTAACATAAGAAAATAGAATTTTACCTTTTGTATTTGCAAACTTATGAGAAACGATTATAATCGACACTCGAACAGATTCTTTTTACGAGAAAATGCGTTTTAAACAAAATTAATTTAAATTAAACTTTACATTTAACTTCTATATTCTAGGTTTGATTATATTTCTTTTACAGTTTTTTCTTATATTTCTTAAAGAGAATCAAATTTAAATAGAAAAGTTAGACGAACATTTGCAACTATTTTCTCCAACGTAGAAAACATTAAATCAAATCTTATTAATAAATATTATTTCGAACACTGGTCCCCTAAGTTGAAGAACCTAATTTAGAATTCGATTGTGAACATACTGATTTTTGATTTTTATTTAGTAAATAAGGTCGTTAAATAAAAAGAATAATATTTATTCTTACGTTGTTATATTTATGCAAATGTCTTTCGTTTATTGTGCTGTTTTCCCACTGGCAAATGCAACGTTTGAACGTTGGTACCACTTTTAAAGCTGTAGGGAATCACGTAATAGGAATTTGAAATTTTTATAAAATTTCTCGCGTAAAATGTGTGTCCGCCGTGTTTCGTTTCACCGTATTATTCTGAAATAAACAACAGACGACGCCCGATGAAAAATGTAAAGCGTCGCGGCGCAGTTTTATATCCTTTGCCGGTTTGGTTAAACGACAGACGTTACGGGGCCGCAAATAATTCGCAGGATGGACTTATTCGCGGAATAAAATGTGTCGTTCCGTAGTGTGTTTCGCAGACGACGATGCAACGGAATCACCAGCAAATAGGATGTTACTTCGCTCAGCCGTTTTTTTTCTCTACGCTCGAAAGCTGCAGAGAATTCGTTGTAACGAACATAATTTCAATGTATATTACACGCGTATACGCGGGAACAATAAGTAAATTTTTAGTTTCTGAAATTCTAATTAGAGCTTTTTTCAACGCATTAAAATCTCTTTTTACGAACATTTTACGATAAAAGTGTAGCTTGGTTGAATTTTTATTTATAATATTCGCAAACAAAAATCGTGTTGATAATGAGAAAAATAAAGAAATGATTTTTTATGATTCTATTTCAGAGCAGCATCCGGTTTGATCTTCTTCCTGGAGATTACGTGGGCCATCACCCTGTTTGTGCAGATTTGTGTCAGGTATACATACTTAACTCGATGGATACTATGAATCTATAACAGTTACTATAAACGTTTCTATCGAAGTTTTCTTTTAATTGCACCATGTATACAGAGGGTGTAAAAAGGATTCGTACAGTGACTAATTATGACTAAAATGCTGAATAATAATGTTTGTTAAACGATATTTTTCAAACAAACATGTTACATATATTCTGCAAAGTGTATAAAACAACAATATCAAATAAACACAAAAAAATATTTATATTGTTACAGAAATGAACGCGTAATAAGTATTCGTGCAATGCTGTTGTTTTACAGACTTTGGACAATACGTGTAACATGTTTGTTTAAAAAATATTGTTTAATAAACATTATTATTCAGCATTTTAGTCATAATTAGTCACTGTACGAATACTTTTTACGACCACTGTATGAATATTAAACTGTAAATTATTTTTAAAAGCCTTTCTTTCTTCAAAATATTCCACTAGATATTAGGAAATTAATATCAGAAAAAAGGAGAGCCAGAATTAAATTCACTACCGAGAATATTTGCTAATATGAACGATTAGCAATACCAAATTAAATTTTGTGATGCTATTTCTAAAAATAAAAAAATATTCTTCCCACAAACCTACAGAGTGTTCGGCCATCCACGGGAAAAAATTTTAATGGGAGATTCTTGAGGCCAAAATAAGACGAAAATCAAGAATAGTAATTTGTTGATTGAGGCTTCGTTAAAAAGTTATTAAAAATTAAATTGAAAAATTTCAAATTATTAAAAAAAAAATTATTTTCGGTTGCAGGGGTAAATTACAATTATTTTTGGTCAATAGATATACCCCCAAAATCCCACACACTTTCGAGAAAAAAATTCGGGTAGGTGCTGAAATATTCCAGCGAAAAAAAAATTTCAAATCATTTAAAAAAAATTATTTTCGGTTGCAGGGGTCAATTACAATTATTTTTGGTCAATAGACATACCCCCAAAATACTACGCACTTTCGAGAAAAAAATTCATTACCGAATATGTAATGTCTGACCACACATTGATATGCTTCCCTGAAATATCATGCGTATGTTTAAAACGTCATAACTCTTGAACGGATTCGAGGATTTCAATGTTTCAAAATGCAAACAACGCGTATTGTGGTGAAGAATATGTGAAAATTGCAAAAATATTCAAAAAGTTGATCCTTCACTACGCAAAATGAGAAAAACCCCATGAAAATGATTCAATTTCCAAACAGCCATAACTCCTACAGTAGTGAATATATTTCAAAGAAACTTTTTTCTGAAGCAGAGCTCATGAATACCTACAAAAAAGTATTAGACAACTTTTGTATAGGGTGTCAAACAAAATTACTAAAAATGAAAAACGAATTCTTAATAAAAATATACAGTGCCTAAATTTTTCGATGAAAAAAAAATTTCAAATCGTTCTGAAAAAATTATTTTCGATTGTGGTGGTCAATTACAATCATTTTCGGTGAATAGACATACCACCGAATTCCTACGCTTTTTTGTGAAAAAAATTCGAGTAGATGAACTTTTTCAACAAAGTTAAAAAATTTCAAATCGTTTTGGAAAAATTATTTTTGTTTGTAGGGCTCAGTTGCAATCATTTTTGGTGAATAGACATACCCGCGAAATCCTGTGCATTTTCGAGAAAAAAAATTCAATACTGGTGAAAGTTTAAACGTTAACAACTTTTTAACGAAGCCTCCATCAACAAATTGGTATTCTTGATTTTCGTTCTATTTCGGCCTCCAGAATCTCCCATTAAAATTTTTCCCAGGTTTGGCCAAACACCCTGTATACATGAATTTCTACAATTTAAATTTTATTTGTATATTTTCTAAATTCAATTTGTATCATCATAAATGAAACTTCAATCGAGCAATGGTATTATGTTTGTCGTCATAGTGGCGCCAGTGAAGTGCAAAGGGTTAATATAGATTCATCGAACGACCAAATTTTATACTTAATCGGAAAAATAGAAAAATGCCCCTTTTATGGGACACTACTAATTTTCGGTAGAAAATTAATCGAATCAAAGTATGTTTATGAAAATACCGTGGAACATATTCGAACGAGCACGATCGTCAATTCCAAATATTCGTGTTCACCGTTGTTCGCGTCGATCTAGACGTACCTCGAGTCGCGTTGAACGAATCCCCATCGATTTTCGCGTAATGACGAAAAGCGTAATAACGTCAGCGAAGAATCGAAATCGTCGAGAATGCGAGGCTGTCTCGTTAACCGAGGATTCGAAAATAACGAAGAAAGGGCGCGGATGAAAATTAGTGTGGTAATTATCGATTCCGTAGTTTGGCCCAGTTTCCTTTCCATTCGGTCGTAAGTTTGGTCGGCGCATACAGAACGATTCGATGAAGAGCGGGAAACGAAAGGAGAAAAAAAAAATGGAAGAATACGATGGAGACATCGACGATTCTGAACCGGCGGTATCTGCTCTCGTCTACTCGTCTCATTGAAAGTAGATAGAACGGCCGATGGAATACGGTAAAAGGAGCTCCGAGGAACGATTTTATTGCCCAACGAACTTCTGACGATCTATCTCGCGTCGACACCGGTCGTTTCGGAAGTTTATATCCTTGTCGGTTATGTAAAAAAAAAAAAAAAAACCGCGATAGAGCCGTTCAAACGTTTCTATGGGTCCTTGTTATTACACCAGATAGGAGATATGGCACCTTATTCTGCTCTCAGAAAATTACTGTTTGTACAGTTTTTTTCGGGGATTGAAAAGGAAATCCAAGATGGAGATTGTTACGACGAGGGAAATATTATGATAATGGTACGGTGGCTGTCTTCATTTACAAATCGTGAAATTTGCAGTAAATGACTGAAATACAGATACAGGCGTTATAATTAGGAAAAATCGTACAGTACTTATATATAAATTGCGCCGGATCGCGGGAAATTTGCAGAAAAGTTAGTTTTCTCTTTAGTACAGTTGCGTACGTTTCAAATTTCGCGCCAATAAGGTTCCCTGTAGGTCCGCCATATTTGTGCTTCAACTCACGTTTCTGGCATACGATAAATATGCCTTTGCTTCTTATGATTTCAAATATTGCCCTGGTAGATAATAATTCTATCGATATGTTAATCATAATCTATTTGCTGCGCAAGTTCTACCTTTGCAAACTTAGGTTATATCAGGGAACAAGATAGGATGTTTATTAATTATAAAATGTGTGCAATCTTGCTTGTGCTTGCCTTCACAGCAAAAGTAACAACGATACGAATTGATAAAAATTAAATTTATAAACCTTTTTGACAAATTTTCGATGCATACAGGTACAAAAACTGTTGGCCAGAAAGGACTTTAAAATATAGTCGTGTCAAAATAGTCCACAATACGAGTAGAGGATTAATAAAAATTCTATCCTAAATATTGAATATTATTGAATACTTATTACTAGACTGCGGATATTTATGCATTTATGGGAAATTTAGATTGTCAAAAAACTATAGAATGCATTTAATATGCAAAAATATAACAAAAACTAAAGTAAGATAAGAATTATTGTATTTAGAGGTTGAAAGAACCCTCTACGAAGCTCTTATTTTATTAATTTTATTAACAAATATATGAATTTGCATAAAAATCCGCAGTCTACTTATTACATTCTGTTGTAGTGTTACGGTAAAGGATTAGGAACGTAGTGATTACAAATACAGTATTGTCTCTATAGAAGCGTCGCTCTCGGGGCTCAACGCTCAGCTATATCGTGGACGAGAAACGATTCTTGATACTTTGTTGACGCCTACTGGAGGCGGCGAGTATAGAAAAGAACAGCGAGCATATGACAAAGAGGGACTGAGCGGCCGAGCATCGCCGAATTTGCTATCGCTTCCTTCGCTTCGGGTCGGCTGTAACGAAACACAGGCGATGTTTATGCGAGCCTATACGAAATCGGTGTTCTAATTCTGACTTCTACCTCTCTTGGTAGAGGTCGCAGAATGAAATACTGATTCTGTATAGGCTCGCGTAAACATCGCCTGTGTTTCGATACAGCCGACGTGGAGTCACTTGAGCGATGCATACCTTTGATTTCTTATTGCGTTAGTAAATAGGACCTAAATTGTATATCGTATTTGGTGTCATTTTAATCAGAAAAGTGTCACGAATATGTTGATGAAGTTTGAAAAAAGGAAGAACAAAAATAAAGATGAATTTCGTTGTTGATTTAATATTGTATATGTACTAGTTAAATCGTGTCATAACTTCAGTACATATATGTATGTATCGATCGTTTACTGCAATAGTGATATAACCCGAAAAGATATACATAACTTGCGAATTTAAACTGTTTAACCAACTTATTTTACTCTGAGTTGTCTCACGATTTCGGCAAATAAATGATAGGTCAATTAAATTACAATTCCTTTTTTCAGATGAGGATACACTTTAAAGAAAGGTCAAATGTATATTATAATTTATGAAAAACAATAATAAAAATTATGTTGTACTTGATCTTAGTTAAATCAGAAAACTGTCACAGACATGTTAAAAGTTTCAAAACAAGAAAACGAAAAATAAAAAATTTGTATTATTGCACTAGTGTTGCCTTAGTAATTTGAGCCCGTATCGTATGACAATGTTCGACGACCGACTGTCAAACGCGCCGCTATCTTGGGGAACCGCCCATAGGAAGGCATACTCGCCGATACAGCGAGTGCTTAGTTCTAACGGTACGCAGTGGGGATAAGTAGAGGGGATATGATATTTGCCTATATCGTGGACGAGTTCCGAGCTTATACAGTGAAAACTCGATAAATGTCCTCAAGAGCTGTTCCATAAATGATACATTTTTATCCCCACCACTAGGGGGATCCCCCTTGAACCAGTGAGGCGAAGTGTAACCGGAGACGTAGCGGCTTTCTTTAAAAATCTTTATTGCCTTCGTCATCTTAGTTTAAATGTCCCTGTCAGTGTGACCACACTACTGTACAAGAAGAAAGTTTTTTATTTTTTACTTTTTTTTAATAAAAATTTTACTATCATGTAGGGAAGATTTTTCTAATTAAAATGAGACTAAACACGATATAAATCGGCCAATATTTGTTACCATAATATTGAATTAAATATTGTGTACTCATATCTTCGCAAGGTCAGTGGATTGGTACATTTATCGAACAGTGGTAGCTAACGAAACCCCCTATTTCATAAGTGTTGCAGTTTTTGATCACTTACGAAACGGTGGAACCGTTCCGTTTGAAAATAGCTACCTTCCGTTCGATAAATGTAGCCAGCACCTCGATGCGTCGTTCTTTGATATTTCCGAACATAGGAAAGGACAGCACAAGAAGGATAAATAAAGAGAGAAAGACTCGCAAGTACAATATTTAATTCAATATTATGCTACCAAATATTGACCGATTTATATCGTGTTTAGCCTCATTTTAATCAGAGAAATCTCCCCAACATGATAGTGAAATTTTTATTAAAAAAAAGTAAAAAATAAAAAACTTTCTTCTTGTACAGTAGTGTGGTCACACTGACGCGGATATTTAAACTGGGGCGATAAATCCGAGTTTCAGTCCCTCTTTCTTCTTTAGCTACTGACTCTTTCTACGTTCGAAGCGTCGGCAAACTACAATCAAATTCGAAAGACGATTCTCCTATTCCGTAAGTGTTGCTGACCGGACCCGGGGTAGCGACATTTATCGAGTTTTCACTGTATAGAGAAAATACTGTAGTACGCAATAAGATATCTCGTGCTGCGTGTCACGACGATGCACCACCAGATGTCGCTCCGCGCGCCATCATGTAGGATTATACTCTCGATGTGTGACGAGTCGCGGTCTACTACCGCCGGGATACCAGGATGGATACTGGGTGGAGAAAACACCGCCGTGCTTACTAGAGCAAAGAATTTATTATACGCGGAATACTCCGGATGACACACGCGCTTCTTCTCTGGTCGCTGGCACGCAAGTGAAGAGAAAGTTCTCCGCTCGCACGCGGCTAGTTCACGACGCTAGCGCCGCGGCAGACGCGGGGACGCGTGTAGTCCCTACAATCACACCACACATTCTGACATCTCCCTGCAAAGAGTGTCTTTTTAACCACGATTCACGAATGGTAATCCTGTTCGTAAAGAGGGCCAAAGAAGATACATCAAAATTTAAATAATCACACTGCTCTTGAAAGGTCGAACAAAGTACTATAAAATAGGAAATATTCAGATGCAAGAAATAAATGAAATTCGTTGTATAAAGTCGAAAAAGGTTTGATTTAACTAGTTAATTTAGCGAAGACAATGCCTACTTTCAGAGTATAAATAGAAATTGTGTGCGTTATATTTCGTGGAAATTTAAAGAACGACGTTTTACGCCGACGAAAGTACGTATGCACTAATAAATTTGCCAAATTTTCAGCGACACAGATCTTGCACAGAACGACAGCGGATCCGATAAAATTGTATACATTTTGTTTCAGGAACGATGAGTCTCTCTGTTCCTACTGCTGGTCGGGTGTCCTGGCGATAACGATGGGTTGGCGAAGAGCATTGTTTTATCTGCCGCTATCCTGCATTTTGGCATGGAAACCGCACAGTCTTTGGTTGTCATACGTTGCGGGTAACTTCCAAACTGTATGATTAAATAGACTCTCGTTTACGTCCTATAGAAATCGAATCATCTTGATCGTCAAGAGCACTTTGAAGAGATCGATTATATTTGGTCGTCGCAGAAGTTCGTGACCCTCGATATTCTGAGATTGACGAGGATAAAATTTCTAATTTAATAGAAAAGAAACAAAATTTTGTCGGTTCTGGAGATTCTTGAAATTTTAACCATTCTATGAAGTCACCTCTGGCGCGACAAAACTATTTTTCCCTAAAACTCTCAAGTCACCTCTGGCCCGCCACTTCATATAGTTAATAAAAAAAATATAAATAACAATAAACTAAATATTCGTGTTTCGATATTATACATTTTTTTTTAAACAATCGTTTTGTTAATATAACATGGAACTTTAAATAACAGCAAGCGATTACTTCATACCTGACATGTGATATCAAACACCACCAAAAATTAAATCAGTGTTGGCCAAGAACAAACTAGGAAAACAATTGTAGTGCAAAGGGTTAAGCTAATATCAAGAATTTATAGAAATTTGAAACGAATAGATTTTGACGAAGCTCCAGGTTTGGAATTTACACTGGCTTACGGGACGAAATATTAAATAAATATTAAATAAACAACGAGTTTCACAGTAAAGATATATTTAAATTACTCGAAACAGAAAATCATAAAAGAAAATGGCATATACATATAAAATGGGTAGTATTATTTAATATTCTTAAAAAGAAACGCACTACATTTGTTATTATTGAAATTGAGATATAAAAAATTCTTCAAAAAAAATTCACTCGTAGAATTTAACATCCACGATAGTTATTAATAGTTTTTAGTTACATATCGTGGGCATATTTCGTAAGTACGTATGTATTTAATGTAAATACGGAGCGAAACGGTAAAAATTTGACGCTAAGTAATAACGTGAAAAATACCACCGAACGAAAGAAATAATCCTCGTTATTCTTGGACCGTTTTTATATCCGCAGCCGGACTTTTGGCAGTGCTATCCCTGCTGCATATTGCAGCCAGTGCTTTAGGAAGTCACGGTGCCTGCCAGATAAGCAACGCCACGGATTCGGTAGGCGAGAGCCTCCTAAATACAAGGCCAGAGAATTACGATCGTTTCGAAGAAGTTTTGGTAAGTGAACGAGGTAAAAGTATAAAGTGTAATTCGTTACACGTTAAAAAATCAGCGGAGAAATTAAAGGATGTAATAAAAACTAAAGATATGATTTGATTATTTTAATTATTAATTATTTTAACCGTTACATTTCATTATTGCATTAACACTGAACCTAACGACACTTCATGATTTTCAACAAAATTAAGAAATATCAAATCGTTCTGGAAAAAATATTTTCGGTTGCAGGGGTCAATTACAATCATTTTTGGTGAATAGACATACCCCAGAAATCCTATCCACTTTCGAGAAAAAAATTCGTGTAGGTGCTGAAATTTTCCGGCGAAAAAAAAATTTCAAATTTTTAAAACAAAATTATTTTCGGTTGCAGGGGTAAATTACAATTATTGTTGGTCAACAGATATACCCCCAAAATCCCACACACTTTCGAGAAAAAAATTCGGGTAGGTGCTGAAATATTCCAGCGAAAAAAAAATTTCAAATCATTTAAAAAAAATTATTTTCGGTTGCAGGGGTCAATTACAATTATTTTTGGTCAATAGATATACCCCCAAAATACTACGCACTTTCGAGAAAAAAAAAACATTACCGAAAATGTAATGTCTGACCATATATTGATATGTTTCCCTGAAATGTCATGCGTATGTTTAAACACTCATAACTCTTGAACGGATTGCAGGATTTTAATGTTTCAAACGGCAAATAACGCGAATTTACGTGAAGAATATGTAGAAATTGCAAAAATATTCGAAAAATTGTTTATCGACACCGTAAAGTGAGAAAAACCTCATAAAAGTGTTCCAATTTTCAAACGACCATAACTGCTACAATAGCGAATATATTTGAATGAAACTTTTTTCTGAAGTAAAGCTCATGGGTATCTACAAAAAAGTATTAGACAGCTTTTCTGTTGGGCGTCAAACAAAATTACTAAAAATGAAAACCGAATTTATAAGAAAAATCGACAAGGGTAGCTTAAATTTTTCGGCGAAAAAAAAATTTGAAATCATTTAAAAAAAATTATTTTCGGTTACAGGGGCCAATTAGAATCATTTCTGGTGAATAGACACACCCCCAAAATCTCACGCATTTCCGAGAAAAAAATTCGTGTAGGTGCTGAAATTTTCCGGCGAAAAAAAAATTTCAAATCATGTTAAAAAAATTATTTTTGTTTGAAGTGATCAATTACAATCATTTTTGGTGAATAGATATACCCCCAAAATTCCATGCAATTTCGAGAAAAAAATTCGAGTAGATGGACGAATTTTTCAACAAAATTAAAAAATTTCAAATCGTTCTGGAAAAATTATTTTTGGTTGCTGGAGTCGATTACAAGCATTTTTGGTGAATACACATACCCCCGAAATCCTGCGCATTTCCGAGAAAAAAATTCATCACGGGCGGAGCTTTAAACGTTAATAACTTTTTAACGAAGCCTCCATCAACGAATTGGAATTCCTAAATTTCATCCTATTTTGGCGTCTAGAATCTCTCACTAAAATTTTTCACCCTGTATATCGCCGTCGTTCGATCGTTTCATTGCGTTTGTTTTATCCGCGTCCAAGCGTGTTCCGAGCAATTTATTTCCCATGGAGCACCGACGAGATAAAGATTTCTAAGATTGTTTGTGGGTACAAGGTGACGGAAGTCCTGGATGATGGCGTGTCGGGACCAACGGGACGAACGGGAGACAGCGACGGGGAAATATGACACGAACGTCAGCCCTCGTGGGCTAGCGAATCGGACGAGGACAGTGAACCCGAACAAAGGACATGTCAGATAGCAACGTTATCTTAGTCCTTGATACTGGATAGAAGAAACGCTGGTTTCGGTGTTTTGCGAGCAGTGCTAGAATTCGGGCTCCTTCCGTATCGTACAAAGGGGTCTCTGCTTCTAAGCGGAAACGCAATAATGCTGGAACAACTCCACCGTTTGGAAAGCTTGCTGGAGGTCGCGAGGACGGTGAACTTTTCGAAAGAAGTTCGTGTCGGCGAGGCTCGCGTTTCAAAACGGAACAGTGGCGCGTCTCGTAAAAGATTCATTTAGAATGAAAGGTAGATCCCGGAATCGCGTGAAATTAACCCCTATCGGACGATAGTATTTTATTATTCGGTGACTATCACTTAAAATCGTACGCTTAGCGCTTAGTGAGATTTACGGTAAATTGCTAAAATACAGGTATAGGCGTTATAGTTCAATGATTCTTTGTTTAAAATATTACAAAGGTGCACGCATTAAGTTTTTTTATGTGACCTTTGTCTGATCCTCGATATACGATCCTCTTTTTTGTAGCGTTTTATAATGCTTTCAATTGTACTATTTTTATTAATAATTCCACTCATTTCGTTATAACTTCTTCCTTTGTCATAATGATGAATTGTATAGAATATACTGTGTTCTTTATTTATCGGAAAATAGGCCAAGTAATGTTTAAAATACATTGAAGATAACTAACAGAATTGTATTTTTACTGTTTCCATGGTTCGATAACAAAAGAACGTCGGGGATTCATCAATTTTACAATATTGCCAATAGTGTACGATTTTTACTGGCAGGATAGTTCTATGCGTTGCAACAATTTTCATTTGTTGTACCAACAGTTGCTGAAAGTTTTGTTCTACTTTTGTAATATTTTAAGAAGCATTGAACTGTAATGCCTGTACCTGTATTTTAGTCGTTTACCGCAAATTTCACTATTTATAAATGAAAGTCGATGGAATCGCCAAGTGCAAGATTTTGAGTGACAGTTTGAAATTTCGTATGAAAATACTTGACATTTTCCAAAACCACCTTCAGTAGGATTTCAATTAACCGGTGTAATGTGGATTGAAACAGACCGGATACATCGAAGCCCACCGAACAATTGAAATTAGGTTGTTACCTATAAAATAGCCATCCACAGTATTATTATTATTATTAATATTTTAGTTACTATAATTTGGTTAAAATGAGATTTTATCAACCGAAATTGTCTTCGTTACAATCAATGTGTTCCTACTCGTGAATCAAACAAATCCACAATTCCCAGAATTAAAAACCTTATCAAATGCATTTTTTACATTTGACTTATTATTACATTTTTTGTGTACCTAAAAACGTACCAGATACGTGTTTGAGTGCATAAAATTCAGTTGGTGCCTGATCTGGTGAGTGGAAAAATTTCATATTTCGACCGATGCAATTTTCGTAAGATCAATTGATACATATACAGGGTGTCCGGCCAACCCTGGGAAAAATTTTAATGGAGGATTCTAGAGGCCAAAATAAGACGAAAATCAAGAATACCAATTTGTTGACGGAGGCTTCGTTAAACAGTTATTAACAATTAAATTCAAAAATTTCAAATCGTTCTGGAAAAATTCTTTTCGGTCGCGGGGGTCATTTACAATCATTTTTGGTGAATACACATACCTCCGAAATTCTATCCACTTTCGAGAAAAAAATTCGAGAAGGTGTGAAATTTTTCGACAGAAAAAAAAATTTCAAATCGTTTTGGAAAAATTATTTTCGATCGCGGGGGTCAATTGTAATCATTTTTGGTGAATATACATACTCCCGAAATCCTACGCACTTCCGAGAAAAAAAATCAAGTAGGTGCCTAAATTTTTCGAAGAAAAAAAATTTTTCAAATCGTTCTGGAAAAATTATTTTCGGCCGCGGGGGTCAATTATAATCATTTTTGGTGAATATACATACCCCCGAAATCCTACCTACTTTCTAGAAAAAAATTCGAGAAGGTGTGAAATTTTTCGACGGAAAAAAAAATTTCAAATCGTTTTGGAAAAATTATTTTCAAATGCGGGGTACAGTTACAATCATTTTTGGTGAATAGGCATACCCCCGAAATCTTGCGCATTTTCGAGAAAAAAATTCAGTACGGATGGAACTTTAAACGTTAATAACTTTTTAACGAAACCTCCATCAACAAATTGGTATTCTTGATTTTCGTCTTATTTTGGCCTCTAGAATCTGATAAAGTGCTACGAAAACGATAGATAATAATTTCCAATTTGGCGTACGACAATCGACATCTATTAGGTCTATGCAAAAGTTTTAGTCTTTTCGTTTTTCAATTTTTTTGAGTCCAAAAAAAAGCACGTGTGAAGGCCATCAGATCACCTATTGTATTCTCATTAAATATTGTTTCTCATTTAAGTGATCAGATAACCGTCTTTTCGTCACCCCTCTCCACCACATCCTACATTAACATTACTAACTTTCATGAAAATAATATCAAATATGTCGATCAACTTGATAATTGAATAATTGGACAATTAAACCCCAGTTAATAAAGATCCTACTACATTTTAATAATTTTACAATACACTTTAAATGTTTCCATTATTCTAAACGGATCGTTTCTAAACTCAGGGTAAGAATGCAATGTCACGGCCGATAAGGGTTAAACTTCCCTAAGATTAACAATCTTTGCTCGAATTTATAGAAATCGATGCTGTCTTTCGTCGGAGTCTTGTTGTTTATGTATTTTACGAACGGAATGTCTTCACAAATCGGCCTTAGATTGTTTAGAGTTCCTTTTGGTAAATCTACGCGGAGCGGTAGTGTTTGTTTATGTACTCGAGAGGGAGCCACGTAGGAATTCCGTAATGAAAAGTTCGAGGGAACGTTTGGTTTTTCGGTCTTAGATGTTTCGACGGTTAGATTGTACTTAATGATTGCGAGAAGAAACAGTTTCGCTGATAAAATAAGAAAGACATTAACGTTAATATAGCTATTGTACTTCGAAAGATATTTACCTATACTGCCGAGCGTAAGTTTGAAATTATCTCTAGAGTTTACAATTGCGTAGTAAAAATGTCTAAGCTCTGATACAGAATGTTTCTTTGTTTGTTTAATTGCGATGCAATATTTATTTAATGAATGTCACTTGCTTATTTAGTCTAATACGATCAATTCAGTTTTTTAAAAATATCATTAAATGTTTATTTTAGCGACTTTGCTGAAAATCAAACTTGAATATGGTTCATCGATTGAGGTTCGATGCATAAAGTTTAATTTTAGAAAGGAGAATAAATGACTCGGAGACCTGAAGGTTCGCGAATAAGTACTGTGTTACTGTTTTTTGTTAGAGAATAATTAAAATGATTCCCATTTGTGAACTAAATAGTCTTTTTACGCGTGTTTTAAAACCCAAAAAGCATGATACGCGGTACATAAATATTTTGGTATTGATTATTTATATTGAAATGTCATTTGCATATTAAAAAAACTGGATATAAAAAATTTTTTTTATCAGAGAATATTTTAAGTGATTCCCATTCGTGAACTAAACAGTCTTTTTACACGTGTTTTGAAACTCAAACGGCACGATATGCAAGTACATAAATATTTTTTATTTAAATGTCATTTACATATTAAAACTTGACGATTTGGAATGATAACTATTTATCATTCTCCAGAAATGATTGATAAAGATGTTTTTAAGCTCATTGCCGGCAGTGTAAGTAATTAATAGAGTATGTGATACATTTTAAAAGATACATCTGGTTTTACGTACATAATGTTAATTTTTAAGAGTGTAACTGTAGAAATAATAATAGCTTATAGAGTCTAGCGTAGGAATTTGTATTTAAATAGTTCTGCGATTTTTAAGGAATGTAATTATTTGTAATGTCTTGGCGCAAAACAGCGCTGCATGTTTATTAATGATTGGGTGAATAATATTTATTTAGAATTTTGCTTCGTCGAATGAAAATGGAGAAATAAAGCTGAATCATTCATGTGATTTAAATTAATGTCAAAGTATTTCCCTCTTCTTTATCGTTAATTATATGCTCGTATATTAGTCATGATTTTTGAAAAATCGTTTAGAAATTGCAGTACAATGTATACTATTAATCCTCACGCAGTGGACTCCATTTTGACGCATAGAAATTATTTACTTTCGAATAGTAATTTTACATATCTACTGAACAACGATAACATTAATGTATGAGCTTGTAAAAGTAAATTATAATAATAAATAATGAATTTGCAAATACAATAATGCAGAAACCTTACAAGGTTAATTATAAATTAACGAAATTCAGATTTGGATCGAAATGAATTGGGGGCCCGGCGTGTTCGAGTGTTAAAAAAATATATTCAGAATATAAAATGAACGGCTGCAAATTTTTAATACGTTATAGGTAAGTCCAAATGTATATAGTAACAAAATAACTTCTCTCCATTTTGTATTTTTGTGGCAGCATAATTCATCTTGTAACGATAAGTTTCATCATTATTATTTCGACAATTATGATTGGGGCTGTACATGTTGAAATAAATAAATAAGATTGTGATCAATTTATAATTTAATCAATTGATTTTGTTTGTATACACGGACGATATATTTATTCATTACAAATGATTCGGTACGTAACGATACATGTTGTATCACATTATGAGTTCGTACAACATACATATAATTACATACTATGCAAATTAGTAGTCAAATTTTGACATAAGCGTCAGTAATATTAAATTTAATATACAATATATTACTAATTTATAGTAAATGCGCGGCAGTTGATACAATTTTGCACAAACGCAATTGCATTCGATTTATTCAGGTTGAGTTTTTATTACAAGCAAGGATGCATTTTCATTTTTATAACGTCACGTTTGAATATTAAACTTTTACAATATTATTTAACAAACTTCGGGTAGAAATTCTTTACTACGGAATATATTAAAAATTAATAGAGAAAATAGCCTACTGTTTGTACTATTTTCGAAAAATTTATAAGCAAACCGCTACCATCATTTCGAAGGGAAGAAATTTATACTAATAAACTAATATATTCGGTAGATAGTTCGGGAGGATTCAGGAAAATTAAAAATAAAAGATTTTCCACTTATTTCCTTAGCGTACTATTTTCACCGCATTTTTAGCAATTAAAAAACTTTATAATAATTTTTGTCCATTATATAAAGTAATTAAACAAACAAATGAGTAAATTTTATTAGAATGAAAACACGTTAAAAGTTGAAACCTTGAACTAGACAGTGATTCTTAACCGTTGTTCCTCAAATCACTAGTTAGTGTTCCGCGAAGTTACGAAAGCGATGTTCTAGCTAACAAATTATGTTTGAATGTATTAACGTAAGTGTATAATGTGTAGTTTATAACGTAGACGAGGTGTAACTTACATTACCAAGTGAACTACCAAAAGTTTAATTCTTGTATCACAAATGTTTCCTTATAGTCAAAAATGTTCTGTGAATTTTGAAAAGGTTAAGAACCGTCGAATTGGTGGTATGCAGAGTGTTAAAACTATCGAGTTCCCGATGCCGGGAAACGAGTTGAGAAGATTTATTCAGGGCGGCTTTGGATCCTATGATCATCTCGTCGTTCAACAGTAAGTAAAGCATTCTAGAGACTACCGAATATATTCAAGAATCAAAACATAAGAGAATAAATTCGTTTATGTATTTGTATTTTCAAAATTATTCATAGTCGGCTACTGCGTTAATATAACATTGGTACACTGTATGTTACCTATTATTTACTATGTAGCTACAATTAACCTAAAAAAATTAGTCTATACACATTGAAAAAGGAACATTCGAGTCCTTTTGTGTAATTTCCACAGTGATTTTTATCGTCTGTAATTCATATTGTCTATCGAACAAACTAAATGAAAGCCACCTCTTCGATTTTGTTTCTTTATAAATGTAATGTTATAAAAATTTTGACTTTAATATTAACAACACATTATACATAAGTTAGGTATATACAACATAGGTAAAGCACAGAGACGTATAATCAAGTTTAACATGTAGCTTTTTTAGCTTGACACTGAACATCTTGATGTTTCCAATTCAGTAATTCGTCTAAAACTTGAATTAATAGAGGATTTCCCCCTAAACGTTTAACCTCGTCTCTTGCTTTTTTATCTAACTCTTCGAGTACGCCTCTTGTATAAGCAAAAGATCCAAATTTTTCTAATAAGTTAACACAATACCGTTTTACTTCAATATCCTTTGTACGTTGTCTTAAAATGTCTATATTCACAAATATTAAGGCACAATATAGTATTTATTCAGAGAAATACGATTCTAAAGTAAAATTATCTATATAGAGATAAAGGATACTCATTAACTGTCTATCTTCCGGATAACATTGTATAGCATGTATAATAGGAAAGCTAAACTTTCCTTCCGACAGATCTTCGCAATAACTTTTATTCTCGGCGTACTATAAAAGTTATTAATGCAAATCACAGAATTAATATATTTATTAAATAGCACTTACCTCTTGAAGATGTAAATTACAATAATCGTCACGAATTTGAAAGTAAAGCCCTAAGATTCCAGCTAAGGGACTATAATCGTCTTTACAGTCTGAAAATAACTGCATTAAGCGAACAGCTAGATTGAAAAGTCCACCTGTTTCTGTAACATGTACGGCATTTAGAATTGTTATAATAATTTGTTAGTGTATACAATTGTGCACAGTAGTGTCCACTTCGACGTCCAACACAAACCTTATCAACTATTATCGATTATTAATTGAAATAAAACATTTGACGTGCAAGACTGCACTTACACGTGTCTGGTATTGGTGCTTCATTTACACTTACTATCTCTTCCTTTTCTCAAAGGTTAATTCATAGAAATCATTTTCCCAAAAAACTATTTGCATTTGGTCTTGGACCGCAGACGCTACTGTACGTGCTAAGTAGTGCCCACTTACTTTGAATTGTCATCTGTTTATACGCAGTTTCAGATGGGCAAATATAATTATCTCTCCAATAAATTTCCATACCTTGCCCTCTATGAAGTTCCAATAATTGTTCTACGTACACTTGTGTACCCTAATTGTAATAATAATAACATTAAAATCAAAGCTTAGGGGAAAAAGAATGCTTGTAGCACTGCTCACCTCTGAATGTTTCAAAGCAAGAACTTTTTCTAAGGCGATAAACATACCATAGTCTGCAGCATTTATTGTACTAGCTATCCCATAAATATTGTGAGCTACAGGAATACCTCTTCTTAAAACCGAATTATCTTCAATATCGTCAATTCTGTAGAAGTTAACACCAACTAATTAAATTGAAATTAAACGGAAACATTCGCTTGAAACAAACGATATCTTCCAAACTCACAAGAGGCTGGAAGTATGGAGTATTTGTATTATATCTCGAATAGCAAGCAGTTTATCGTGCGGTATTTTTAACCAGTAATTAAAAGCACGTGCTAGCTTCGTCCTGATCTGCTTCCCAGGAACTTGCAGAATATAACTAAACGGTTGCAGTATTATCTACAAAAGGATATTCACTTTATATACTCGCGCGCACAGTTCGATACAAATACTAGAGTCGATTGTTGTCACTTTGACAGATTCCTTAACCTCACTCTTTGCGATCGGTTTATTCAGTTTAAACTAACCTCGTCTTCCCCCTTGTCACCGGACCGTGAATAAGGTATATTTGGGTTTTGTTCCATTGCGTGCTTTTGAGAGAATGAACTATTCAATTTTCGATCGTGAATAATAGATTATGAAACTCGACCAGTAATTAGTATATACGAATAAAAAGATTTCTACTGAACAATAACACCGCTTCCGTGTACATGGCAGCCGATGTTGCCAGTGAGTATCATGAATACGTCGTCTGCATGAACGCGAAGAAAGCAGGTATAGACATACCACATTGCAGCCCCAACCCTACTTTTATAGAATCATTCGCTATCTACTTACGTACACTGATGCACGAATGCATGTCGGTGTTACTAGCTTATCTATTTTGCACATGCGCGATGATAACAGTAACGTACTCACATATTGAACGCCACGAGTATCTAAAGAAATGGTTTTGACTGACACAACAGTGACAGATGAGGCAGTTTGAGTCATTTAAAGCGAATATATTAGTATTACTACTAGACTACGGATGTTTATGCAAATGCATACGTTTTTAAGAAATAGATAAAACAGTGAATCCTAAATAGAAATTTGTTTCATCGCTAGAGGTCCTTGAAAATATATTTTTTATTTTGCATATTTTGCATATTTTGTATAAAAACATATGGTCATAAATATTTATTACATTTCTTTTCTCATATGAGCTCATATGATTCTATTTCAGTCTACTGATTCAACGTTTGTTTAGATAGCAGAAATGATAACATAACATAGCTATTTATACATTTCGTGTTTACTTATGGCGAATCATTTATGGTAACACTTCATGGATGCTACGAATTTTACGAGGTCAGATTGTTAAAGAATCTAAAACGATTAAAGCATGTTACTTCAGCAAATTCAAATATGACCCAATCACATTTTGTGACGTTGAGCGTTCGTTCTCAGTTTCTAAATTGACTTTAAGCGATAAACGTCATCAACTAATTCTTGACAATATTGAAAAAATACTCGTAATATATTGTAATAATAAATAAATAATTTGAATATATTTTGCATATTTCTGTATATTTTCACATATTATTGATACATATTTCGGTGCTTTAATCTTTCCTTCGTATGAATATTTTATACAAATTATGTAATATTTTATGTCGTCCTATAATATTATCTTACGTTGCTATCTTTATTCATTTTTCAAACATTTTTTATGGTTTAAGAAAAAAAAAGAAAAAGAGGCCACAGGACGCTCGTTCTCGCTCAGTAAAATCACTTCGCCGGTACTGTTTTCGACGCGCATGCGGGAAAACCCCAGGGCGTCTAGTAACAAATGCGTGTACGCGAGGATACAAGTTCAGGCCGGCATTGGTAAAACAGAATTTCCCTAGACTTACTATTGGCTCCTACAAGGTTCATGAAGCCGATTATTTACCAAATAGAAAAGCAAACAACGCTTATTTCCCGACACAATGATTTATTAACAATTCGAATATATAAACATAAAACGAGTTAAAATGGTTTCCACAATCTAGTTATTTACTATATGGTAACTAACTATAGGCGATATGGGGACAAGGAGCCAGAGCGGGGAAGATTTTTTCTTTTGTGGTTTTCTCGATACTGTTCTAAGCAAACATGACGAAACTTTGAACAATTTAGTAAGCAAATTTTCTCTTGTTACGTCCCGAGATAGCGGTTTAGGGAGAAAGGACGGTGGGTTGGTGCCCGTGGAGCGTTGAACCGCTCTGCTCGGCGAGGCGCGCAAAAATCAAACTACTATTGATTGCTCGAAAAAGATTGGTAAAAGTTTATTCGTCTTAAGCTTGATTTTAGATACAATTCTGTTGACTCTCAAAATCGATCTGCTCCTCCGCGGAAATCTTCTCGTCGTCCTCGGTGTTCATCCCTTCTCCGGAATATTCCTTGATCCTCCCTCTGGATTGTCCTGGTCCAATCGGGGTTCGTGCCTTGCCCCATCCGTCCGGATCGTCATCGATCGATGATCCACCCCCGAGCCGAGTGTAGGTGGAGGTTACGCGGCCATGTTGGAGCGGGCGCGCGTGAGAGAGAGCGTGGGAGTCGAGAGAGAAAACGAGGCAAGAGGCCTAAACAACCCTTAAGAAAATTTATGACCCTTGTGAGAGTAAACGAAACTCGAAGCGAAGTGTCGCGAGGCCCTGCTGCGTGTCAAGACCATTGAAACTCTTATCGGAAATAACTAATCGGTCACAGTCCGTAATAACTAAACAATAAACTAAAGGAACGATGGAACCTCGAGATCGACGCGGCCTTTAGAAAATAAACTAAGTATCTGAAGAGAAGTGCCTTCCTTTCTCTCTACCTTCCCCAGCTTGATCGCCCACGTTGAAAAATATACAATCGTATTGTTTATTACAATACGCTGGTCCGTTTGAAATTCGTTCTTAACTAAAACGCAGTTACATGACTCTGCACTCGACGGTGAATAATCGGGTTACAATTAATTCCCGTTGTGGCGCTATTTGCATTAAACCTACGTTCACGTGATAACGTAACACTCTTATCTGCGAGTCGAACGTTCTTTTGTATCGATCGGTGTACTGCTTTACCGACAATAAGGGAATTTCTAAAGGCCAAGCGAACGATCGGAGGATTGATATGGAAAGCGGGGATTGGACAGGATTTGTAGATATTTTAAAAATGTCTATGACAATATTAAGTAATATTCAGAGCATGGAAAAGCGAGGAATGAAACAAAGAAACGTTTACAGCGAGTAATTACCAGAAACAAAGAACGAAGAAATGGAATCACGGGGGACAGGTGGAAATTTAGTCACATCTTGCGTATTACATATGACTTTGACGGAACGTCAATGTCACGTATCACGCTAAGAGTACGATGTTGTTTCATATGAATCTGTAATTAATATTTATAATTGTTACTAAGTATGACGTAGAATCTATATAAGTTAATACGTTCAAGGGTAAAATTTTCATCTGTAATGAAAAAAAGATATTGACATAAGTTCGATTTATTCTGACAGCAAGGAGTCGAGAAGTCAACTATAGTATATATTATTAATTTTTCCTATTACTCGATATGTAAATAAACACATCAGTAAATTTCCATCTTTAATGTGTTTCTTACATATTACGTTCGGTTTCTAGCTATACATACAAGCGACCAGTAATGCCACGATACGAAAAATAAAAAATCAGACATCGATGCATTAATATTGCAAGTACAAAGATTGATGTCCCCAGCAGAAATGGGATTATAAATAATGGAGAGGGGCACTGAAACAAATATTTTTTTTCAAAGTTAACTATGAATTTTTACATTCGTAAACAATTATTAATACGTTGATAAAGATATAATAATAAGCGTATAATAATTGAGACGGAATCTCGAGAATGTTCGAGCTTGTTGCCTACTTATACACAAAAATTTGTTTCAATACATGCACTGGTGGAGTTTGAAAGTGAGAAATTCCGGGAACTTATTTTACGTAATGTAATCCTTTTTTTCCAGGGGTTGCATATGTTCGAACTGAAAATTTGACTGTACTTTATAATGCTTTGTGGCGTCGCCTCCCATACTCGCCACCAGAGGGGTCCGCGCTCTCACAAGCGCTCGACCGACACCTCAGTTGCTATATACAGGGTGGGGCAGTAACTATTCGCACCTCGGCGGTCCAATATCGTGGCCAGCTCGTTCACCAGACATAACACCTTTAGATTTCTTTCTGTGGGGAACACTGAAAGAGAAAGTGTGAGGCCAATTATCAAAAACAACTGGATGTTGCATCACGACAATGGTGCCTTGTCACATAGCAATTTCAGTAAATGAGCTTTCGGCCAGTAAAACCATTCCTGTGGCTCCTCAGCCTCCTTATTCGCCTGACTTGAATCCTTGTGATTTTTTGGTCAATTCGAACCTGGTCAAGCTCGCTGGTCAACTTGAACCTGGCACCTTCGTGTCGATTATTTTACAACGAAATTTGCCACATGCGGAATATTCGAGGACTTTCGCGACGAGGTAGCATAAGGCTCCGCACGTGGCGACATAAAAAGGCGGAAAACCCCGAGCTGACGAAGTCAGTGTAAGAGTACACGTATCGTTCAAAGACTACGTTACAATGCGAAAGAAACTTTTGAATTCGCGATCGCGGGTATATAAATCATGTTGTGTAACCGATGCACATAAATTAGTGAAATTTGACACGTTAGGATATATGCATGATTTTTTAGGTGTCTCCTGATCGGAATTCGTTATTTTATAGCTAATCACCTTATCGAACAAAAAGTAATAAATGTGCATACTTAGTACATACTTAGCGCTAGAACTTCATACAGAAAATGTACAAACGACGTCTTTTTTCATTTTCATCGGATCGAAGGTAAAACGCCCTTGGGAACTTATTTCAAGTCGATACTGTAATTAGTTCCGGAGAAAACTGTTATTTACGAAAAAATGGCAGAGTAATTATGCAAGCATCCTGTATACAAATTTAAATTCATTTTCAATTAAATAAACAATTTATAATACAGTTGTATGATCAATAGGAAATGCTGAAACTTCTTTGGGTGCATAGAGTCAAAGTAGATTTCGAAATAAACATAGGAGAGTGCATGAATAATAATAGGTGATATATTGATCGGATAGAGGATGAAAAGCCCTTTAAAATGAAACTTTTTTCAAGTCGATCGCGTGGTTAGTTCCGGAGATATGGGGATTCGAAACGTTTGTTTACTTTTTATTGTTTACGTCAGCGAGGTCATTGGACTACTACTACGACCTTGGCAAAGTCGTTGATCGTACGTGCTCGTAGCAAATAGTCAATTCTTCGAAATACTACGACTTCCTATTTACATCTACAGGGTGTCCACGCTAAAGTGTGACAGTCGCAATATTTCAATAACTATTGATGATACGAAAAAATTGTTTACATATAAATTGCAGGATAAAATAGGATCTCTATTTTGGCGCATACGAAATTTTTTTTATGTTATTAATTTAAAAGATATGACGGGGAAGTTCGTTTTTTAAAAGGAACTACATTACATATATTTCCTATTTACATCGGAAGTTAAACAGAATTTGATACTTTTTGCCCGGTGTTTTACATAAAAATATAAATCGTTCGATCAGTTAGATGACCGGTCATATTAGGTAAGACAGCCAGTATACATATATATATTTTTCTCAAAAAACATTGAAAATATATATACATATTGAAAAATTTATTACACATATGTAAACTTTGTACAGCCAGTTGCAATTTTACATGGAAACACTTGTTTAACAAATAGACTACGGATGTTTACGCATTTATGGGAAATCTTAATTCTGAAAGAACTATAAAATGCATGTATAAATCTAAAAAATACTTGAAGCAAGATAAGAATTATTAAGAGGTTCAAACAACCCCTTATAAAGCTACCATTTTATTAATTATATTAATACAAATATGAATTTGCATAATGATGCGCAGTCTATCAATAAACATCGATTATTTGTTTCAAATGGCACGGAAATAACTGTAATGTAAATGTCGAAGATTTTCTATCAAATTGGTGTTTATTAACTATACAATGTTACTCGTCAAATAAAACGAATTCAATACGCGTTAAAAAATATTGTACAATGCTTTGGAAATTATATGTATAATTCACGATATGGATACGTGATAAAATACGCCATAAAACAATGAAATTTATATAAGTTAAATACAACAGAAAACAAGAAAAATGTCGCGAAGGTTCCAGTTCAGGGTCTCAAAATGTCATGATACCGCTGGGAATATTTAATACCTTTCAAACTAAAATTTGATTCATACTTTTCTTAGAACGTTACTTATTGTGAGGATGCTTCAAATCCCTTAATTTATCAAAAATTTCCTCGAACAATGGATTTCCTCCCAAACGTTCGATCTCTTTTCTTGCTTGCTTATCCAAATCTTCGAGTACATTTCTCGTATAAGCAAAAGAACCGAACTCTTCCAACAGTTTGGCGCAATATCTTTTCACTGTAATATCCTTCGTCCGTCGTCTCAGAATAGCTTTATTCTCCATCATTAAGGAATAACAAAGAATGTGTTCGAAAAGATACGAGTTATTTTAGATAATCTATGTCAGAATAAAGGATACTCTTTATATGTGTATCTTCTGGATGCGTTTGTATAGCATGCATGATAGGAAAATTGAAACTCCCTGTACTCAGGTCATCGGCGTAGCTTTCGTCATTAGTATTCTACAAAAGTAAAGAAATTATTTACAAAATCTATTTCGTACCCTCCCTCCGATTTCAAGGACCATGTAATATGTTAACAATATTGAGAACCATATTAAGAGTCTATTCTGAAACAAGCTATACTTTTTTTAAATCGAAGATATAAAAGTGTTACCAAGTAAAAAGTGGAATCCTCCGTAATTTGTGTGTTTGATGTAGCGTGGAAAGTATAATATGCAATATTTTACAATGAACGTGTAATAATTTACCTGCTCGATCATTTAAATTGCTATTCTCTCATTTTATTGATTACCTACTACTTGAATATAATATTGTCCCGTTTCTGCGTGACACCTATTACATTTAGTGTAAGGGTTACAATTTCAATACATAATAATCATAGTGACTGTATTTTCAATAACAATGAATTCCTAGTCCTCACTAAAACTCCATTCCACAGTATCCATACTCTTTATTGGAACAGTAAACTTTGCATACCTTCAGCATTCGCTAAACCCACTTTTTGCAACTTTTACCGTGTGGCGTCGCCTCCCATGTTCGCCACCAGAGGGCTCGAGCTCTCACAAGCGCTCGACCGACCCCTCGGTTGCTATATATATTCCTTCCCAATATCCCAGTCATCTAAAGCAGGGGCTGCTAGAAAGCCTTACTGATGAGTCCACTAGCAGGCCCCCCTCCTTTCCTTTTCTGCCCCCCCTACGAAATTCTCCCAAGATCCTACCCCCAGCCAACAGCGCCACAAACCACATTACTCAACAAAGTTAACAAAATCCAATAATAAAGAAACTTTCTTGGTTACATTAGTATTATTTCATCGTCACAAAGGTGTTTCTTCAGCAAATGGTGTGATATTTCAGTCAAGTTAGAATACTGTAACACTTTCACATGTATCTCTAAAATTAAAGTCGAACGACATTTATGCACGACAAATTGTTCAGGATATTAATTTTAATAACATACTACAAAATCATTGAAATCGAAGAAGAGAACTGCTTTTTAAATAATTACCAAAAGTAATTATTGTGTAATACAAGAGTATAGTCATTAAATCGCGCTTACCGAGTCGTATTGAAAATTAGAGTAGTCATTACAAATTTGGATGTACAACCCCATGATATTTATCAAAGGAGTAAAATCCTCTTTGCAATTTGAAAACAGTTGCATCGAACGGACCGTACAACTGAAAAATCCTGTTGTTTCTAAAGCACGAACAATGTTTATATTTGTTAGGTTTCGAATAATGCAAAGGATTTATAAATAAATGAAAACATATATATGACAGCATTAACTGTTCAATTAATTCTGACTTACTTTCAAGCACCATCTCCTTATACGACGCTTCAGATGGACAAGTGAAATTGTCTCTCCAATAAATTTCCAGACCCTGTCCCCTGTGAGTCTTCAATATTTCCTCTAGGATTACTTCCATAATCTAATTGTTACAGCAATAATATTACAATCGAAGTTTAACGCCGAATGGTTGTATTTTCATCACATTGCTAACCTTTGGATGATTCAACGCGTGAACTCTTTGCATAACAAGGAATATAGCATGGCTCGCGGCATTCAATGTTCTGCCAATTCCATAAATAGAGTGAGCTACTGGAACGTCTTTTCTTATTTCCGCTTCATCTTGTACATCATCGATTCTGCGAAAGTTGCACAAATTGATTTACTGCGGCAGTAATACAAAATCATGGTATATTGTGAACTCACATAAGAGAGGAAACATGAAACGTCTTTGATATAAGTGCAATTTCACGTAATTTATCCTCTGGTATTTTTAACCACACATTGAATGCAGTTGCTATCTTGGACTCCAAGCGTTCCTCGATACATTTCTCTATGTATTTGACGGGTTCTAGTAATTGCTGTAACAAAATCTTCGCTTTAACCGTGGAATGGACGATCGATTTACGAGGTTCACTATGAGATGACTGTTTACTATTTGGAGGTGTGTGTGTGTGTGTGATCGTATAACTTCATTATGTGCATAAAAGTTGGGATTAGCTGATGAAAAATTAATTTTTAGCGAGTGCATTGGATTCATAAAAGTAGCATTTATATGCGATAAGTCATTAGCATTTCTATCGTTTATATACTTTCATATAGAGTTTGTTATCGAAAATGTAAAACTTAATTTATTATTAAACTTACAATATTGCAATTGTCTTTGTATTGATTAGACATTATTTTACGAATGTAACGCTAACAATTTATAAGAATCCGTTGTTTTATTGTCGAACCGATACTAACTGGTAGAAGTTTCTAAGAATGAAGTATTTTGAAAATTATTAAACGATCTCTAAGAAAACGAAGAAAAGAAAATGTTGAAAAATAGATACACTGACAAAGCAAGTGCCTTGATTGGAATTGTCACCAAATTTTGTCGCGAGGAATACAACAAGTAAAACAATTTGCACCAGTCTCCCTTCTGTTTGTTGGCAGCAGTATCTTAATTAAACATAAATTATTCTGCAAAGATTTAGAGTGGCTGCGTTGGAAACTTTGAAGAAATATGTGTTGATGAAATGATTATAATTCAAATGTTTCCACTTAAGATGTTTTAGAAATATGTAAAGATATCGACAATGTAGAACATGCATGTAGTATCAATATGTGTTTTTTCTTTTACGCTTTCGATTGTCCAAGGTAATGTGAATCGAGATTACCTCCGATACTTGAACATTCAAATAAATTTTTGTATAATTGCATACCTTCTCTGCATTTCTGTTATGAACGTCTTAAGAAGGAAATATCTCTACCTTAAAGTACAAAGCACCTAAGTTAATACGGAATGCCCGAAACTGTTCACGTTGTATTTACGGAAAATGCTATATTGAAACACTTTTTGAAACTAATTTCTTTCTCACTATAGTACACTTACATGATCAATCTCGTTATCACCAACCAGCGAAAGAAGAATACTTTTGCCCTCCTCCATCACGTATTACAATGCTAATGAAACTACGGAACTCGCGGTTGTGGGTTTATAAATCGTATTGTGTAATCGATGCACATATATTAGCGAAATTTTATACGTTAAATTAGATACGCACGTGTATGATTTCTTAGGCGGCTGCTGAGCGGAATTCATTATTATAAAGTTAGCCACGAGGTTCGACAAAAAGTAATATGATAAACGACTTGCGTTTTCAATTTTGTGTTGGTACACTAGCCCATATTACATTCAATAAAGTGCAAGTTCCTTATGTCAAACGCATCCTCGTACAATAACAATGACCTCCATTCTTTACTTATAGCTCATTTTGCGATGGAAACCTTGGCTAGGTAGGTTATATGAATACAATTATTTATTTTACTTTGTATTAACATGTATTCTATATATAAAAAGTATTGATAGGCAAATTGACTAAAACGCCAATGAAGCGACTTTTACCAAAAAAATTGATTATATTTAAAATAAATATAAAAGTACGTAATTGTGCAATTGACACATTGTTTCCTATACTTAATTGTTCTTCTAGGTAATAAATGTTTAAATATCGCGTGAGTCTGAGACGGAGAAACTCGGCCGCGATTCCCGTATCTATGTTGAATTCGCGTAATTCTAGAAGGTTGGGCTGACTTTGATTTTTTTCGTTGTTTAGATTAGTAGACCGCGGCTATTTACGTGTTTTTTGATTAGCTAACTTCGCTGGAATTCTCGGTTCTTAGAACAAATTCTAGGAATTGTGTTGTTAGCGCCGAGAAAGAGAGAGAGAGAGCAAAGTGTTCAATTGTAAAGAGATCGACAGCTGAAACGCGGCAGCGACAAGCCGTGGCTACCCGGTTCTGCGCCTGCGCGACGGAGCTCAGCCGCGGCCGTCGACGCTTGCAGTCGTCGCGGCGCGGTTCATTCGTGAGCCGCCGGCGGTCGAGAGTGGACCCTGGAACGATCTCTCTCCATTTTCGTACGAGCTCCGAGTAGTGTGAGCCGATCTCTCTCCTCGTAATCGAATCAAGTTTGCGGACATTTATTTATTGGAAAATCTCATCATTGCGATTGGAGATTTTCCCCACAAAAGAACAATCCGCCTGTTGTAGCGATCGTAGATGCAGTGTTGTGATTAAACGTTGCAGTTCGTTGCCACGACTGCGACGTTAGGGATTCGATGTTAATCACTTTGAGTCTCTTCCAATTTAATACGGCTTTTTTTTTCGTGGGGAAAATCTTCGAAAGACTCCCTCCTACCTCTTTGGGGAGAGGCGGGAGGGGTGTGTGGGGATTCCCCGTGCCTATGGAATGGGCGCGAGACCTACCCACTAAAAACCCCACGGTGACCCTTCCTCACCATTTGGGAGGATACCGGGAATAGCTCGAAGCATACTTCCGGTATCCTCTCCGTGCCCGTGCTTTTGCGTTCATCCACGGGGGGACAAACGGTCCTCTCGACAGTCACGCTGTCTCATAGCGGCAGGACGAAGCCACTTCGTCCCGCCGCCATTCGTCCCGAATTTAATACGGCTTGAGCCACGGGAAGGTAGATATCGACCTACTGGCATCGCCTAGTGGTGGTTCGCCGTTCGAAGGGATCGAAGAACCCACTTGTTAGATATTTTGCAAGAACAACTCTACTCAGTCCGGTTCTGGGGTAAGTGGCAAGAGGTCAAGCTTAGTCCTCTTACCAGAAGGCACCCTTGCCTTCCCCACTCCGTGGCCAGATCCTCAAGGAACAGAGTTCCTATTCTTTAAAGCAAGACAACGTCGGGTCGCTTGTCTTTTTCTAACATACCTACGTTTCCTTTCAACAAGCAATCCTATGACGCCCGATAGCTGCGTGACTTCGAGTCACCAGCCATCGACGGGCATCTGGATTGTGTCCTTGCAACCATCCCTCTTGGGCCCCACGCAGGCTAAGTCCCTATCATAAATCGTTTGAAAACGAAATATCGTCGAGCTAATTGCCCTCGACGTCCCTTAAAAATAAGCCGTCGCTAACACATTCGAACCACCCGTCTGGTGTGCCACAAATGTAGAGTACACCGACCGGTGGAGTAGAGGTTTCTACGATCAGTTAGAGCTATACGGCGTAGGAGCAACCGGTAGGTAGATACCCAGGTACTGGTATCACCTCGTGGTGCTCTCCGTGCATTGGGTTTCGGAGAACCCGCCCCAGTGATTCCGTCGCGAGGTGACGATCGTTGAGCACAAGCGTACGGTGGAGCAAAGGGTTCGAAGAGCCTTCCTTTCACCTCTACACCCACTATCAGCTGTGAGTCGACCACACTGGGCTGTGGCCATAGGGGTAGTTGGCCTTGCAGAGGACTTTACCTCACCTTCACACTTCGTCTTTATAAATATTGTGCATTGCTTTGAAAATTATAGAAGGAATTCACAATATGGATTGTTGGAATCCGGGTGATCAAGTAATGCTCTGTATTTATTATAAGAGTTTATTCATTTACGTTGAATTCACGCCGAACTCAACTACGAAGAATAACGGAATTTACAATGGAATTTGGCTCTTGGATTAGGCGTTAACACCTGTAGACTTGTTGCGCACCTGAAAGCTCGCCGGGCCCTGCAGTCTGGGAGTATCTTAGCTATAGTAGGGGAGGAGGATCCTAGACCTAGTGACTAACGAGACTTGTGACTAACTCAGGATGACTTATCGATGTTTGGCCCATTGGTCGTCCAACAAGATACATACGCCATAAAACTATAAAATTTACATAAATTAGATACAACAGAAAACAAGGAAAATGCCCCGAAGGCACGATCGATGGTACGAGTAGGTTTTGTCAGTTCAGAGTCTCAAAATGTCATGATATTGCGTGAAATTTGATTCATACCTTTCTTAAAACGTTACTTATTATATGGATGCTTCAAATCCATTACTTTGAGGGGGCAGGGGGTTCAAATAACAAGACCACGATCTACCCCACAATTCTTACACAGTTTATTCGCGAGTGTGGGGTGTAGCCACACGTAGGTTAAAGTTACAATGATGTTACGACGTCTAAAACAGACTGAGCGTCTTTCTTCAAACCTCCCTTCAATATATACATTTCCTCGATCTAATAGTAAAGATATAATATATAAGGTAAATTCATGCCCTGGCAAGGGCGTAATGGCTATAAAACGGCCGCTACAACTTTATCCAAACTCTTCACGAACAATGGATTTCCTCCCAAACGCTCGATCTCTCTCCTTGCTTCCATATCCAAATCCTCGAGTACACTTAACGTATAAGCAAAAGAACCGAACTTTTTTAACAGTTTGGCGCAATATCGTTTCACTGTAATATCCTTCGTCCGTTGTTTCAGAATGGCTTTATTTTCCTTCATTAAGGAATAACAACATATGTGTTCGAAAAATTATTTTAGATAATCTATATCGGAATAAAGGATACCCTCTATTTGTGAATCTTCCGGATGACTTCGTATAGCGTGTATGATAGGAAAATTAAAAGTTCCTGTACTCAGGTCATCCGCGTAGGCTTCGTCATCAGTATTCTATAAAAGTAAAGAAATTATTTACAAAATCTATTTTCTACCCTCTCTCCGATTTCAAGGACCATGTAATATGTTAACAATATTGAGAGCCATATCAAGAGTCATATGTAGTGTGGAAAGTATAATATGCAATATTTTACAATGAACGTAGAATAATTTACCTGCTCGATCATTTAAATTGCTATTCTCTCATTTTATTGATTACCTACTACTTGAATATAATATTGTCCCGTTTCTGCCTAACACCTATTACATTTAGTGTAAGGGTTACAATTTCAATACATAATAATCATAGTGACTGTATTTTCAATAACAATGAATTCCTAGTCCTCACTAAAACTCCTTTCCACAGTATGCATACTCTTTATTGGAACAGCAAACCTTGCATATCTTCAGCATTCGCTAAACCCACTTTTTGCAACTTTTACCATATGGCGTCGCTTCCCATGCTCGCCACCAGAGGCCTCGCGCTCTCACAAGCGCTCGACCGACCTCTCGGTTGCTATATACAGGGTGTCTCACCCGATTTTGACATCTTGATTTTCTCGCTATTGTTACTCGTAACAAAAAATGTTTCACCGGAGGCTTGAATGGTATCGAGTGGAGCATATTCTGATGTTATTAGTATTTTCGTGAGTGGACGCGTAAAGGTCATATAAAGGTCAACTTTGTTTTTTTAAATGGAATGAGGTATTTTTTAATACATCAATCGATTCAGCTGGACAATCGTTATAAAAAAGTACTAACTATGTAACGTCGAAAAATTAGTAGTTCAGGAGATATTTCAATTTAAATTATTTAAATTCTTAAGGCATCATTACTACCGCACTAAGACGTTAGCTCTGTTTACCAACGTTAGACTAGTACAACAGTAATGGTGTTTTAGAATTATTTAAATTAAAATATCTCCTGAACTAGTAAAAGACATTTATATATGACAAATTGTCCAGGATGTTAATTTTGCTAACATACTACGAAATCATTGAAATCGAAGGAGAGAACAGCTTATTTAATTAATTACCAAAAGTAATTATTGTGTAATACAAGGGTAATATAGTCATTAAATCACGCTTACCGAGTCGTATTGAAAATTATAGTAGTCATTACAAATTTGGACGTACAATCCCATGATATTTATCAAGGGAGTAAAATCCTTCGTGCAATTTGAGAACAGTTGCATCGAACGGATCAGAAAACTGAAAAACGCTGCTGTTTCTAAAACACGAACGGTATTTATTTTTTGAATAATGCTGAAGATTTATAAACAAATGAGAACATATGTATGACTGCATTAATTGTTCAATTAATTCTGGCTTACTTTCAAGCGCCATCGACTTATACGAAGCTTCAGATGGACAAATGAAATTCTCTCTCCAATAAATTTCCAGACCCTGTCCCCTGTGAGCTTTCACCATTTCCTCTAGGAATATTTCCATAGCCTAATTGTTGTAATTATAATGTTATAATCGAAGTTTAACGCCGAATGGTTGCATTTTCATCACATTGCTAACCTTTGGATGATTCAACGCGTGAACTTTTTGTACAGCAAGGAGCATAGCATGGCTCGCGGCATTCAAACTATTAGCTATTCCATAGATAGAGTGAGCTACTGGAACGTCTTTTCTTATTTTCGCTTCATCTTGTATATCATCGATTCTGCAAAAGTTACACAAATTAATTAAATGACAGTAATACAAAATCATGGTGTATTGTGAACTCACATAAGAGAGGTAATATAAAGTGTCTTCGATATAAGTGCAAATTCACGAAATTTATCCTCTGGTATTTTTAACCACTCATTGAAAGCAGTTAGTATAATGGATTCCAAGCGTGGCTCGTGGTATTTCTGCATGTACTTGATGGGTTCTAGTAATTGCTGTAACAAAATGTTCGCTTTAACCGTGGAATGGATGATCGATTTACGAAGTTTACTACGAGATGACTGTTTACTATTTGGAGGTGTGTGTGATCGTATAACTTCGTTATGTGCTTAAAATTTGGGATTAGCTGAAGAAAAATTAATTTTTAGCGAGTGCATTGGTTTCACAAAAGTAGCACTTTTATGCTATAATTCAATAGTATTTCTCTCCTTGCCTTCCCATATACTTTCATATAGACTGTGTTATCGAAAATGTAAAACTTAATTTATTATTAAACTTACCATATTACAATATAAGTCTTTGTATTGATTAGACATTATTTTACGAATGTAACGCTAACAATTTATGAGCGTCCGTTTTTTTATTGTCGAACCGATACTAACTGTTAGAAGTTTCTAAGAAAGAAGCATTTGAAAATTATTAAATGATCTCCAAGAAAAGGAAGAAAAGAAAACGTTGAAAAATAGATACACTGATAAAGCAAGTGCCTTGATTGGTATTGTCACCAAATTTTGTCACGAGGAATACAACAAGTAAAACAATTTGCACCAGTCTCCCTTCTGTTTGTTGGCAGCAGTATCTTAATTAAGCATAAATTATTCAGCAAGATTTAGGGTGGCTGCGTTGGAAATTTCGAAGAAATATGTGTTGATGAAATGATTAAAATTCAAATGTTTCCTCTTAAGACGTTTTAGAAATATGTAAAGATATCGACAATGTAGAACGTGCATGTAGTATCGATATGTGTTTTTTCTTTTACGCTTTCGATTGTCCAAGGTAATGTGAATCGAGATTACCTCCGATACTTGAACATTCAAATGAATTTTTGTATAATTGCATACCTTCCCTGCATTTCTGTTACGAATGTCTTAAGAAGGAGATATCTTTACGCTTTTTGAAACTAATTTCTTTCTCACTATAGTACACTTACATGCTCAGTCTCGTTATCACCAACCAGCGAATGAAGAAAACATTTGTCCTCCTCCATCGCGTATTGATATGCAAATGAAACCACGGAACTCGTGGTTGTAGGTTTATAAATCGTATTGTGTAATCGATGCACATAAATTAGGGAAATTTTATAAGTTAGAATAAATATGCACTTGCATGACTTTTTAGTCGGCCGCTGAGCGGAATTCATTATCTTAAAGTTGATCGCGGGTTCGGACAAAAAGTAATATGATGAACGATTTATATTTTGCAATTTGTTATTGACACACTGGCTCATATTACATTCAATGAATTGCAAGTTTCTTATGTCAAACGTAAATTCAGGGGCAAATTCTTTCTCAAAAAACTCTTTCGTTGGTTGTTTCCTTCGTTGGTTGCTTCTTCGACCAACGATCGCTGGTCACAAAAGATCTTTACTAATGGAGGGTGGTTGGGAATCGGTTAGGGCGGGTCTTCATTCGCAACAATCTCCACGTGGCGAGACCTGGTTAATATTATTTAGCGTTTAATTAATAATCGTATCACTCTTAGCTGGGTAATGCAATTATTAATTAAAAACTGAATAATATTAGCAAATTGGCTACAATCCGCTTTGCGTAGATCATCATAAATATAGAACTTTTTCGCTAGGTTAGTTTTGATTCTCATTGATTCATCAAAGATTCAAGAGATTTTTTTGACCCATTTTTATGGGGTCTCGAAACCCCGTTACCATTTTCGTGTCATTCGCAACGTTACCAACAGATTCAGAAATGAATTTTAATCCCTTTCATAGTCAACTCACATGTATTTACGCAACACTACAGCTGTTTGCCTATCAATACTAATTCAGTGAATAGTCAAATCCGTTAAATTATCCAAAATTTCCACGAACAATGGATTTCCTCCCAAACGTTCAACCTCGCTCCTTGCTTGCTTATCCAAATCTTCGAGCACATTTCTCGTATAAGCAAAAGAACCGGACTTTTCTAACAGTTTGGCGCAATATCGTTTCGCTGTAATATCCTTCGTCCGTTGTTTCAGAATGGCTTTATTTTCCTTTATTAAGGAATAACAAAGTATTTGTTCGAAAAGATATGATACGAGTTATTTTAGATAATCTATGTCAGAATAAAGGATACTCTTTATTTGTGTATCTTCTGGATGAGTTTGTATAGCATGCATGATAGGAAAATTGAAACTCCCTGTACTCAGGTCATCGGCGTAGCCTTCGTCATTAGTATTCTACAAGAGTAAAGAAATTATTAACAAAATCTATTTCGTATCCTCTCTTCGATTTCAAGGACCATGTAATATGTTAACAATATTGAGAACCATATTAAGAGTCTATTCTGAAACAAGCTATACTTTTTTTAAATCGAAGATATAAAAGTGTTACCAAGTAAAAAGTGGAATCCTCCGTAATTTGTGTGTTTGATGTAGCGTGGAAAGTATAATATGCAATATTTAACAATGAACGTGTAATAAGTTACCTGCTGGATCATTTAAATTGCTATTCTCTCATTTTTTTGATTACCTACTACTTGAATATAATATTGCCCATCTCTGCCTGACACCTATTACATTTAGTGTAAGGGTTACAATTTCAATACATAATAATCATAGTGACTGTATTTTCAATAACAGTGAATTCTTAGTCCTCACTAAAACTCCATTCCACAGTATCCATACTCTTTATTGGAACAGTAAACTTTGCATACCTTCAGCATTCGTTAAACCCACTTTTTGCAACTTTTACCGTGTGGCGTCGCCTCCCATGTTCGCCACCAGAGGGCTCGAGCTCTCACAAGCGCTCGACCGACCCCTCGGTTGCTATATGTATTCCTCGAACGACTTCCCAATATCCCAGTCATCTAAAGCAGGGGCTGCTAGAAAGCCTTACTGATGAGTCCACTAGCAGGCCCCCCTCCTTTCCTTCTCTGCCCCCCTACGAAATTCTCCCAAGATCCTACCCCCAGCCAACAGCGCCACAAACCACATTACTCAACAAAGTTAACAAAATCCAATAATAAAGAAACTTTCTTGGTTACATTAGTATTATTTCATCGTCACAAAGGTGTTTCTTCAGCAAATGGTGCGATATTTCAGTCAAGTTAGAATACTGTAACACTTTCACATGTATCTCGAAAATTAAAGTCGAACGACATTTATGCACGACAAATTGTCCAGGATATTAATTTTAATAACATACTACGAAATCATTGAAATCGAAGAAGAGAACTGCTTTTTAAATAATTACCAAAAGTAATTATTGCGTAATACAAGAGTAATATAGTCATTAAATCGCGCTTACCGAGTCGTAATGGAAATTAGTGTAGTCGTTACAAATTTGGATGTACAACCCCATGATATTTATCAAGGGAGTAAAATCCTCTTTGCAATTTGAAAACAGTTGCATCGAACGGACCATAAAACTGAGAAGTCCTGTTGTTTCTAAAGCACGAACAATGTTTATATTTGTTAGGTTTCGAATAATGCTGAAGATTTATAAACAAATGAAAACATATAGGGTTATCCAAATTGAGTGTCACATCTTTAAATTGATACAAAACACAAACTGTTTGAGATATTTCAGGTTTCTTTATTTTAATATAAAGTCCACTTCGTAACATTAATCGTGGAACACAATATCGTTCAAATGACCGACTAGGCTTTTTTTCATAAGCTCGACTCATTTTGCCCAATTTTCTATTACACTATTACATAATTGGGGTTCTATTTCATTAATGGCGGCTATGATATTGTGTTTTAGCTCGACGTTGATACGTACCACGTGTTACATTACAAACTGACCCAGTCTCTTTGAATTTATCCACAATTCGACGAATTGTTCTGACAGAAGGTCGTTGGACCAAGAATTTCGCGAAGTGCACGAAAACAAACTCGAACAGAAATTGAACGTTTCTAATAATGTTCAACAATTTGTACACGTTGTTGCACAGTGTAGCGTTCCATCATGATTTATTTATGTTTAGTGATGACATGTATGAAATATAACAAAGAATAATGAAACCGTTTAGTAGTTCCATCTGTTGAAAGATGTGACACTCAATTTGGATAACCCTATATACATATATGGCAAAATTAACTGTTCAATTAATTCTGGCTCACTTCCAAGCACCATCGCCTTATACGACTCTTCAGATGGACAAGTGAAATTGTCTCTCCAATAAATTTCCAGACCCTGTCCAGTGTGAATGTTCAATATTTCCTCTAGGAATATTTCCATAGCCTAATTGTTACAGCAATAATATCACAATCTAAGTTTAATGCCCAATGGTTGTATTTTCATCACATAGCTAACCTGCGGATGATTCAACGCGTGAACTTTTTGTACAGCAAGGAGCATAGCATGGCTCGCGGCATTCAAACTATTAGCTATTCCATAGATAGAGTGAGCTACTGGAACGTCTTTTCTTATTTTCGCTTCATCTTGTATATCATCGATTCTGCAAAAGTTACACAAATTGATTAAACGGCAGTAATACAAAATCATGGTATATCGTGAACTCACATAATAGTGGAAACATGTATTGTCTTTGATATAAGTGCAATTTCACGAAATTTATCCACTGGTATTTTTAACCACACGTTGAAAGCAATTGGTATCTTGTATTCCAAGCGTGTCTCGAGACATTTTTGCATGTACTTGACGGGTTCTAATAATTGCTGTAATAAGATGTTCGCTTTAACCGTCGAATGCACGATTTACGCGAGTCATTGGTTTTTACTTTGACAAATTTCATAACATTCACGATGATAGTTTACTATTTGCAAGTGCATGTACTCGTGTAACTTTATTATGTGCATGAAAGTTGTGATTAATGAAAATTGGGCCGGGTGCTCACATACTGCATGAGACAACCCTATTCGAAGGGGTTGTGCGCTAGATCATCGGACCAACGCCCAAGCTACCAAACGTTTCCCATACATGATTGATATCTAACAAGAGGTAAGTTACCGAAAATGTGAAACTTAATTTATTATTAAACTTACTACATTGCAATCTGAGTCTTTGTACTGATGAGCCTTTGTACTCATTCGGATAAATTTTTCTATAATTCCATACCTTCTCTGCATATCTGTTACGTTCCAAAAATGTCTCAAGAAGCAAATATCTCTACCTTAAAGTTCAAAGCCCCGAAGATAATACGGAATATCTGAAACTGTTCACGTTGTATTTACAGAATACACTCTTTGAAACTAATTTCTTTCCCTCTATAGTACACTTACATGATCAATCTCGTTATCACCAGCCAGCGAACGAAGAATACCTTTGTCCTTGCGTATTACAATCCAAATGAAACTGGGGCACTCGCGGTTGCAGGTTTAGAAATCGTGTTTAGTAATCGATGCACATAGATTAGTGAAATTTTGTACGTTAGAATATGCATGTGCATGACTTTTGAAACGTGACTTTGTCAAAAAAAATCTTCGAGTACTCCGCAGTTGGCAAATTTCATCGCAAATTAGTCGTGAGCTTTAGCAAACCAAAAGCGCGAGTACCGAGTTGGTCGACGAAGGGCTGTATCGATACAAGGGTTGCACGGTGCTCTACAAAGACCATCGCCAACTCATGGAACAAGGGATGAAACAGTTGCAACACACGTGTAGCTACTCGTCTTAATCCGGAGTCCCATTTTTTCTTCGACAAAATTAACGGGGCCTTCGACTCAGAAAAAAAACCTCGTTCACCTTCGTCCAGGGTGATTTGAGACTTTTTCTCCACCACAATCGGGTGTGAGGAAGGAGTTTCCTGTCCAACGGGGCAGGAAAATCGATCCTTCTCCAAGTCGATGACCAATCGATAAGCGTGAGGAAGGAGTTTTCTGTCCAACGGAGCAGGAATATTGATCCTCCTCCCCCAAGTCGATGTCCAATCGATAAACTAGCAAAGTCAACGCGAATCAGGTGAAAAAACCCCCAAAATCGCGTTTCGGAGGGGGTTCGAGCCTAGGAGGACACTGAAAGTTCGTAGTTATCATTTCGAAATATGCAACGGTGAAAGTTAGGAGGAAGAGGAGGGAGAGGAGTATGTTCCTAATAGGGTAATGATATTTAGTAATTAAGTAGTGTTATTTTAGTTTTATTTTCTTTTGTAATAGGTTAAGGTTAACTTTAATTTTAGTTGTTTCCCCTTAAGAAGGGGAAAAGGAGATGATGAGGGGGAGGAGGCTTCCTACACCCAACTGTTCTTTTAGATAATAAACCATACAGTTTCTAGACGGTGTTTTCCACGCCCATAACATGTATAATAATAGACAAGGAAAATACTTATTAGATATTTTTTATTGCTCTACAATCATGCTCTACAATATTGCTTGGAATAGTTCCCTTGTCAGTTACGACTAAAAGAACGAAGTAAATATTCCATTTATTGTATGTTATGAATAATTTTAATATAATTTCGCTGTTAAATATTGCATTTTACAAGTTTCTTGAAAATTCAGTGAGCTACGCAATGTGGAGGATAGTCGTGGGAATGACCTCATTCTTTTTGCAAAAACTACTTATTTTGTAATCACAACTCTTCGATGAAGCAGACTTCAACAAAATGTTCGTGTTCCATATGTAGATACGTAAATATTTATAACCATTGATCAGCACAATATAGAATTCGTACGCATCAATATGTTCGATGCTTTTCTTTTTTTTAAAAAAAGGAAGGGTTCAAGTTATTTTGAAGGGAAAGGATCAAGAAATTAAGTCCGTTCGCTTTATTTTATATGATCAATAAGTGAGAAATCTACACTTTTAGAACCACAGACGACGTGTGCAAGTAGATCATCTATGAGCATGATCCAACCATTGTTGACTATCCATGACTCATTGAAACCATCTTTTCTAGAAAAGTAAAAAATTAACTCTTGTATTGCATATCCACATCACATGGGAAACGTTTACCACGAATATTTTCGAATAATGTTACGCCAAACATTCTCATTTGCAAAGGGTTATTTAAGACATAAATATTTGTGTATTGAATACTTCGAAAAACTTACACTTTATTATAAATATTCTGCGTTGCTTTGAAAATTACATATAGAATTCACAATATAGATACATACGTCATAAAACGTGTGAAATTTATGTAAGATATCACAGAAAACAAGAAAAATGGCGCGAGGCTTCCAGTTCAGGGTCTCAGGATGTCGTGATACAGCTTGAAAGATTTAATACATTTTTAAATAAAATTTCATTCATACCATTCTTAGAACGTCACTTATTATGTGGATGTTTCAAATCCATTAATTTATCCAAAATTTCCTCGAACAATGGATTTCCTCCCAAACGTTCGATCTCTTTTCTTGCTTGCTTATCCAAATCTTCGAGTACATTTCTCGTATAAGCAAAAGAACCGAACTCTTCCAACAGTTTGACGCAATATCTTTTCACTGTAATATCCTTCGTCCGTCGTCTCAGAATAGCTTTATTCTCCATCATTAAGGAATAACAAAGAATGTGTTCGAAAAGATACGAGTTATTTTAGATAATTTATATCAGAATAAAGGATACTCTTTATTTGTGTATCTTCTGGATGACTCTCTGTAGCATGTATGAGAGGAAAATTGAAATTTCCTGTTTTCAGGTCATAGGCGTAGCGTTTGTCATCAATATCCTACAAAATTAAGAAATTATTTACGAAATCTATTTCATACTCTCCCTCCGATTTCAAGGACCATGTGATACGTTAACAATATTGAGAGCCATATCAAGAGTATATCCTGAATCAAGCTACGCCTCTTTTTAAATCGAAGATATAAAAGTGTTCCCAAGTAAAAAGTTTAAACCTCCAATAATTTGTGTGTTTGATGTAGCGTGGAAAGTATAATATGCAATATTTTACAATGAACGTATAATAATTTACCTGCTCGATCATTTAAGTTGCTATTCTCTCATTTTTTTGATTACCTACTACTTGAATATAATATTGCCCCATCTCTGCCTGACACCTATTACCTTTAGTGTAAGGGTTACAATTTCAATACATAATAATCATAGTGACTGTATTTTCAATAACAATGAATTCCTAGTCTTCACTAAAACTCTTTTCCACAGTAGGCATACTCTTTATTGGAACAGTAAACCTTGCATATCTTCAGCATTCGCTAAACCCACTTTTTGTAACTTTTACCATGTGTCGTCGCTTTCCATGCTCGCCACCAGAGGGCTCGCGCTCTCACAAGCGCTCGACCGACCTCTGGGTTGCTATATACAGGGTGTCTCACCCGATTTTGACATCTTGATTTTTTCGCTATTGTTACTCGTAACAAAAAATGTTTCAGCGGAGGCTTGAATGGTATCGAGTGGAGCATATTCTGATGTTATTAGTTTTTTCGTGAGTGGACGCGTAAAGGTCATATAAAGGTCAACTTTGTTTTTTTAAATGGAATGAGGTATTTTTTAATACATCAATCGATTCAGCTGGACAATCGTTATAAAAAAGTACTAACTATGTAACGTCGAAAAATTAATAGTTCAGGAGATATTTCAATTTAAATTATTTAAATTCTTAAGGCATCATTACTACCGCACTAACAAGGGGAGGTCATACCCTGTCAACCTGGGATTTCAACCTTTGGCAGAGTTGTTGGGGCTGATGTCCAAACGCAATCTGTAAAATACTAGACGTTTATGGCCAGCCATTTTGTTAAAAAATGGCCTTAAAGTTTAAAATGTCGAAGTTGTCGGATCGACGTTTTTTTTTTTTAAATTTGAAGGTCTCGAAGAGGGGAACACAAAAGTCCAATACATTTTTGCCGTAACATCAATAGTTTAAACAAAAATTTGAGTTTTTGTGACGGGATAAATGCATATGTACCGTGTAGTTGGAGCGTATTTTAAGTAGTCATGGTAGCCGTAGAGTTAGTGTCGAGGAATTCGGGTCGGAAGACTGGGGTTCGTGTCCCCGGAACTAGAACATTTTGTTTATTTTCTTTTCTTCGCTTATTTTTGAATTTTTATTTATTTTTAATTTTAATTTTTAATATCATGGAAAAAGATGGCTGTTACAAATAAATAAAATACTATTATGGTTATAAATGTTTATTTTCACACATACTTACAAACATATTCTCATATATATTTACATCTCACGTATAAATAAATACAAAAATTAGATATTTATTTCATACGGGTTTCGCAATGCATTGTATGATTTTTATCATAAAAACAGGAAAAACATAATGGTTTCATACACCAAGCGCATGTTATAAATGCTTGTTCTGTACAGCATTTTTTGGACCACGGGTAGCAGTAGATGTTCGAAAACAAGAAGAGGAATTAGGCAATGTACATGTCACTTGCACAAAGTCAGGGAAATTGCAATCTGATACCTATCAATTATTTTTGGAAAATATATTAAAACCTTACGTAAAAGCAAATAAATTCTTATTAGTCATCGATTCGTGGGGTGGACAAACAAATCCAGCATTATATGACAGGATCTTTTATGATCCGGAAGATAAAAATATGGCTACCTGCACGTTAAAAGTGATACCACCAAAATGTACACCCATTTGCCAACCGTGTGACGTGTATTTTTTTAGACAGGTTAAGAACTTTCTTTCAAGACTCCAAAACGCCCTAACATTAATCCACGAAAACAGAGAATTAACCAATAGACAGGATATAATAAAATTACATTCCATAATCCATTATCAATTATCTGCTCCAATTTTTACCGACATGATTAAATATGCATGGTATGCGTCTAAACTCACCCCTCCGAATCATAAAAAAGAAATCTTTTGTAACGTGAATCAAGTATGTTTTCCACACGACCTAAGAAATAAAAAATGCCGTACAGAACAAGCATTTATAACATGCGCTTGGTGTATGAAACCATTATGTTTTTCCTGTTTTTATGATAAAAATCATACAATGCATTGCGAAACCCGTATGAAATAAATATCTAATTTTTGTATTTATTTATACGTGAGATGTAAATATATATGAGAATATGTTTGTAAGTATGTGTGAAAATAAACATTTATAACCATAATAGTATTTTATTTATTTGTAACAGCCATCTTTTTCCATGATATTAAAAATTAAAATTAAAAATAAATAAAAATTCAAAAATAAGCGAAGAAAAGAAAAAAAACAAAATGTTCTAGTTCCGGGGACACGAACCCCAGTCTTCCGACCCGAATTCCTCGACACTAACTCTACGGCCACCATGACTACTGAAAATAAGCTCCAACTACACGGTACATATGCATTTATCCCGTCACAAAAACTCAAATTTTTGTTTAAACTATTGATGTTACGGCAAAAATGTATTGGACTTTTGTGTTCCCCTCTTCGAGACCTACAATTTAAAAAAAAAAAACGTCGATCCGACAACTTCGAAATTTTAAACTTTAAGGCCATTTTTTAACAAAATGGCTGGCCATAAACGTCTAGTATTTTACAGATTGCGTTTGGACATCAGCCCCAACAACTCTGCCAAATTTGGTTGAAATCCCAGGTTGACAGGGTATGACCTCCCCTTGTAAGACGTTAGCTCTGTTTACCAACGTTAGACTAGTACAACAGTAATGGTGTTTTAGAATTATTTAAATTGAAATATCTCCTGAACTACAAAAAGACATTTATATATGACAAATTGTCCAGGATATTAATTTTGATAACTTACCACGAAATCATTGAAATCGAAGAAGAGAACTGCCTTTTAAATAATTACCAAAAGTAATTATTGCTTAATACAAGGGTAATATATTCATTAAATCACGCTTACCATGTTATAATGAAAATCAAAATAGTCATTACTTATTTGGGTGCACAACGCTATGATATTTGCTAAGGGAGTAAAATCCTCTTTGCAATTTGAAAACAGTTGCATTGAACGGACCATAAATCTGAAATGCGCTCCTATTCCTGAAGCACGAACAGTACGTATATTTGTTACGTTTTGAATAATGCTAATGATTTATAAACAAATGAAAACATTAACTGGCCAACTAATTGTGGCTTACTTCTAAGCACCAGCGCCTTGTACGAAGCTTCAGATGGACAAATGTAATTTTTTCTCCAATAAAGTTTCTGACTCTGTGCCCTGTGATTGTTGTACACTTCCTCTAGGAATATTTCCATGACCTAATTGTTATAGCAATAAATATTATAATCTAAGTTTAACGCCGTATGGTTGTATTTTCATCATATTGTTAACCTGTGGATGATTCATCGCGTGAATTTTTTGTATAGCAAGGATCATAGTATAGCCTGCTGCATTGAATGTATTAGCTATCCCATAAGTAGAGTGAGTTAGTGGAAGGTTTTTCCTTATTCCTGCCTCATCCTGTATGTCATCGTATCTGCAAAAGTTACACGAATTGATTAATCGTTGGTAATACAAAATCTATGGTACATCGTGAACTCACATGAAATCGAAAATATTAAATGTCCGTGATATAAATACAATGTCACGAAATTTATCCTCCGGTACTTTTAACCACGCGTTAAAAGCAATTGGTATCTTGGATTCCAAGCTTTGCTCGATTGATTTCTGCATGTAAACCACGGGTTCTAGTATCTGCTGTAACAAAATGGTCACTTTTACCACCGAACACATGATTACTTAATAAAAAAGTCTTCTTAATGAAAGTTAATTTTCGAGTTTTATTCGTATTTACAACAATTAACAATTTATTATTCGTATTTACTACAATTTACTATTTGGAGATGTCTGTGCGCGTATAACATTATTATGTACATGAAAGTTGTGATGAGCTACTAAGAAAGAAATTCGTACGTAGTGAATAAAATTTAAAATGAGATTATTTTTAGCGGGCGCGTTGGATTCGTTGAAGTAGCAGTTTTCTTTTCGATTTTGAATAATATTTTTAGGTGAATTGGTGCCAGTATAAAATGGACGTTTATCGAGTCTTTGAAAACAATGAAGTTCTGAAGAAGTAACTTCTGAAGTCTTCGAATTTTAACGGAGAATTCTTCGTATCGAATTTTTCTAAATGAAAATTTAATTATTCTTTAAACTTAAAGCTGTCTTTCGCGGTTTCGTTCTCTCAAACTGTATTAGAAAGTCCACTAGTTAGCAAAAATTACTAGAAACTGTCCAGGTTCTATTTACCGACGATGTCATATTAAAGCGTTTCTTACTACGAGACTGATTTTCTTTCGCCATTACATCGCCCTAACCTTGTCATCCTCGTTATCACCGGGCAGTGAATAAAACAGACTTTTGGTCTCTTCCATTGCGTGTTACAGTGGAACTGAAACTAATGGATTCGCTGTCACCAGTTTATAAATCGTTTTGTGTAATTTATGCGCATAATTTAGTGGAATTTTGCACGTTAGGATGCATGAAATACGTGAGTGCTTTTTCAGTTTCCTGAGCGGAATGCGTGATTATGTATCACGTCATGGTGTTGGGCAAAAAGTGATACGATGATTGACTTACGTGTGAAATTCTGTGTCGGTATGCTGGTCCATATTATGTTCAATAAATTGCAAGTATCTCGCGTGAAACGCACAATCATGCAAAAATACTGTCACCGCCAAAACCTTGACTAGGTAAACTATAAATACAATTATTTGTTTTATTTTCTACCAACATGTATTCTATTTAGCATGGAGTATCGATATTCAAATTTACTAAAACGCCAATTATCATTTTACTCCAAAAATTTATTATATTTGAATAAATATAAAAATATGTCACAGTGCAATTGACATATACCCAATTGTTCTTTTGGATAGTAAACCATATAGTTTTTGGGGGCGTTTTCCACTCTCTTAACATGTATAATGAGAAAGAAAAAAAAATACGTATTAAATATTTTTGGTTACTCTACCAGTCGTACAAAGTTTCATCAAAATCGAACATTATCACTTGAAATAGTTTTAGTTACGATTATACTGCATTTTATGCGTGAATATTGCATTTATTATATGTTATGAATAATTTTAATATAATTTCGTTATTGAATATTGCATTTCACAAGTTTCTTGAGAATTCAGTGAGCCAGCCATGGAATTAGATTTGTGGCGCTGCGTCGCTGCGGTTAGGAACTCGTGAGATTCATAGGAAGCGTGAAAAGGAAAGGAGTACAGTGAAAACTCGATAAATGTCGCTACCCCGGGTCCGGTCAGCAACACTTACGGAATAGGAGAATCGTCTTTCGAATTTGATTGTAGTTTGCCGACGCTTCGAACGTAGAAAGAGTCAGTAGCTAAAGAAGAAAGAGGGACTGAAACTCGGATTTATCGCCCCAGTTTAAATATCCGCGTCAGTGTGACCACACTACTGTACAAGAAGAAAGTTTTTTATTTTTTACTTTTTTTTAATAAAAATTTCACTATCATGTTGGGGAGATTTCTCTGATTAAAATGAGGCTAAACACGATATAAATCGGTCAATATTTGGTAGCATAATATTGAATTAAATATTGTACTTGCGAGTCTTTCTCTCTTTATTTATCCTTCTTGTGCTGTCCTTTCCTATGTTCGGAAATATCAAAGAACGACGCATCGAGGTGCTGGCTACATTTATCGAACGGAAGGTAGCTATTTTCAAACGGAACGGTTCCACCGTTTCGTAAGTGATCAAAAACTGCAACACTTATGAAATAGGGGGTTTCGTTAGCTACCACTGTTCGATAAATGTACCAATCCACTGACCTTGCGAAGATATGAGTACACAATATTTAATTCAATATTATGGTAACAAATATTGGCCGATTTATATCGTGTTTAGTCTCATTTTAATTAGAAAAATCTTCCCTACATGATAGTAAAATTTTTATTAAAAAAAAGTAAAAAATAAAAAACTTTCTTCTTGTACAGTAGTGTGGTCACACTGACAGGGACATTTAAACTAAGATGACGAAGGCAATAAAGATTTTTAAAGAAAGCCGCTACGTCTCCGGTTACACTTCGCCTCACTGGTTCAAGGGGGATCCCCCTAGTGGTGGGGATAAAAATGTATCATTTATGGAACAGCTCTTGAGGACATTTATCGAGTTTTCACTGTATATAAGAAAGAGTAAGGACCATCAGTAAGGCTTTCTAGCAGGCCCTGCCTTAGACGACTGGGATGTGGGATATTGGGAAGTCGTTCGAGGAATGTATATGTGGGTTACTTCTTATTTAATGCACGTGGCTCGTTTCCACGAATTACCACGGATATGGATATTCAAAATAACTGAACACGTTGTACGTAACAATAACAATAACTATTAGTACTTTATTAGACGCAAGGCGTACAAGTCTTTGTCGTGAAAAACAGGAGTCTAAATCTTTCTCTTTTTGGGGTGCTCCTTCGCGGAGTTCTCACAAAGCAGTGTCTTAAGCGTCCTTGCTTTTTCGGGAGGACGCGCTTTCGCCCTGCTGCGCTGCGCGCGCAGCCTTACGGCGGATTCGCAACTTATCGGGAAAATGCTCCCATCTATTCTCGTGCGGACGAGACCATAAGTCTCGACCCCACATATATGTACACCGAGGGGCCCTCTGGTGGCGAGCATGGGAGGCGACGCCCACAGATTCATTCAGTTTGCCAAAACTACTTCTTTTATGATCACAGTACTTCAACAGAGAAGACTTTGATAGAGTGTCAGTGTTCACGCGTGTTAAATTAAGAGCAGTCGCTGTTCCGTATGTGCATATGTTAATTTATTATCTATAACTATTGGTTAACATTGTACAGAATTCATACGCTCAATAGGTTCGATGCTGAACTCTTCTTTCGAAGAAGAAAGGGACATTGAAGAAAGACCACCTTAAATTATACAGAACCTGTTTGTTAGCTGTTCAATGTGGTATGAAAAAAATGATTGAAATTAACGTCATATGTTATTATTTTATTCGAGAAATAATCGCACAGTCTGAAACAGATAACGTCGAAGTTATTTTCTTTGGAACATTGATTATTTAATAAAGTATAAAGATATAAGGTATAATCGAATTCAGCTTCTGCTGAGCACCTCAATGCTTCCAATCTAGTAAGCTGTCTAAAATTTTCACTAACGCAGCATTTCCACCTAAACGTTGAATTTCGTCTCTGATTTTTTTATCCATTTCTTCGAGCACAGTTTTCGTGTAAGCGAACGAGCCAAACTTCTTTAATAGATTTATGCAATACCGTCTCACCTCGATATCTTTCGTCTGCCGTCTGAGAATGTCTTTAATCGTTGCCATTAAGGAATAACAAAGTATTTCTTCAGAGAAATGTGACCTCAAAACAAGATTATCTATACTTGAATAAAGGATACATATTATCTCTCTATCTTCCGGATGACTTTGTACTGCATGTATGATAAGAAAATTGAATATCCCTAGCGATACATCCTCGGCGAAATGCGAGTCCTCGGTATACTGCAAGAGTCATTATTATACAGGGTATTCATGCTATTACCAGCCAGCGATTTTTTTGAAAACTGTTCTAATTAGAAAAAAATGAAAGAGAAATTAGTTTTATACAGGTTGTTCGGCCAACCGTGTGAGAAATTTTAGTGAGAGATTCTAGAGGCCAAAATAAGACGAAAATCAAGAATAGTAATTTGTTGATTGAGGCTTCGTCAAAAAGTTATTAAAAATTAAATTGAAAAATTTCAAATCGTTCTAGAAAAATTACTTTCGGTTGTGGTGGTCAATTACAATAATTTTTCGTCATTAGACATACCCCCAAAATCCTACCCATTTTCGAGAGAAAAATTCCGGTAAGTGCTGAAACGTTTCAGCAAAAAAAAAAATTTCAAATCGTTGTAAAAAAATTATTTTCGTTTGCAGGGGTCTATTACAATCATTTTTCGTCATTACACATATCCCCAAAATCCTACGCACTTTCGAGAAAAAAATTCGAACAGGTGCTGATATTTTTCGGCGAAATTAAAAAATTTTAAATCGTTGTAAAAAAATTATTTTCGATTCCAGGGGTTTATTATAATCATTTCTCGTCATTACACATACCCCCGAAATCCTACCCATTTTCAAGAAAAAAATTTGGGTAAGTGCTAAAATTTTTCAGTAAAAAAAATTTTCAAATCGATGTAAAAAAATTATTTTCAATTGCAGTGGTCTATTACTATCATTTTTCGTCATTACACATACCCCCGAAATCCTACCCATTTTCGAGAAAAAAATTTCTTACCGAAAATCTAATTTGAGGCGAGAAAGAAATGCTTCCCCGCATGCGTATCTTTAAAATGTCATAACTCCTGAACAGATTGGAGGATTTTAATTTTTCAAAATGCAAACAACGCGTATTTTGACGAAGAATATGTGGAAATTCCAAAAATATTCGAAATGTTATTACTTCATAAAAATGGTCCAATTTTCAAACAGCCATAACTCCTACAATGGTGAATATATTTCAATGAAACTTTTTTTTGAAATAGAAAGCATGGGCACCTACAAGAAAGTATTATACAACTTTTCTATAGGGCGGCAAAGAAAATTACTAAAAATAAAAAACGAATTACTAAGAAAAATCGAGGGGTCTAAATTTTTCGGCGAAAAAAAAATTTCAAATCATTCTGGAAAAATTATTTTCGATTACAGTGGTGAATTACAATCATTATTGGTGAATACTCATATCTCCGAAATCGTAACCATTATTGAGAAAAAAATTCCTTACCAAAAATCAAATGTGAGGAAAGAAATGTTTCCCCGAAATTTCATGCGTATGTTTAAAAAACCATAACTTCTAGACGGATTGAAGGATTTTAATGATATCATAATTCAAACAATGCCTATTAATAGAGCTCTGGAGTCCCAGAAAAATTGCATGTAATGTCTACTCGTATATCTCGCCTGTGGCGAGAACTATTATCGCGCGTGCGCAGGTCGCAGATTCTACACGCGGAACTTTAAACGTTAATAACTTTTTAACGAAACCTCCATCAACAAATTAGTATTCTTGATTTTCGTCTTATTTTGGGCTCTAGAATCTCCCATTAAAATTTTTCCTGGGGTTGACCGAACATCTCATATAATATTTTTGATTGCCACGAAAATTACCTTCATTTCTCGAGAAACATGAAAAATTGAAAGACATTGTCCTGTTGGTCACAAGAAACTGTACAAACCTTTTTCTTTTTCATTTTTAAAAAATTTGAACAGTTTTCGAAAAGACCCCTGTACAACGCGATATTAATATATCAATTTGCATTTACCTCTTCGCGATACAAATCGAAATAGTCATTCCGAATTTGATAGTAAACGCTTATAGTTTCTATCAGGTGTGTAAAGTCCTGTTTACAGTTTGAAAACAGCTGCATAAACCGGACAGCTGTGTTAAAGAATACACCTGTCTCTGCAACACGTTCATTATTCTTATGGTTATAATAATTCCGTGAATTTGGCAAATAAAGTTACGTGGAACTTTCATACTCAGATCATCGTACACTCACTTCGAATCGCCATCCTCTTATACATACTCTCGGGTGGACAAATGCAATTGTCCCTCCAATAAATTTCCAGACCCTGTCCTCTATAAACATTCAATTCTTCCTCTAAATACACTTTCACCGCCTAATAATAATTGTAACGATAGAAACATTAGAATCGAAGCTCACAGAGTTCGATAATGGACAGAAAATAGAGTTCTCCTAGCAATATTGCTCACCTCTGGATGATTTAAGGCAAGAATTCTTTCCAAGGCAATATGGTTAGCATAAATTGCAGAGTTGATCGTGGCAGCTACCGAATAAATATGATGTGCAGCAGGGTTGAGGCTTCTTAAGGTTGAATCGTCTTGAATATCGTCGATTCTAATAAACATTCCGTTGATTAATGAAACTCGAGCGTGTCGACAGCGTAAATTGTAAAGGTACAGGGCAAACTCACAAAAGGGTAGATGTATGAAGTATTTGTATTATTTCTTGAATCGCGTTAAATTTATCCTGCGGTATTTTTAACCAATGATTGAAAGCTTCTCCCAACTTTGGCCTGATATCGGTTCCAGGAACGCAATAAATGTAATTGACCGGTTCCAGCAGTACCTGACAAAGAATAATTAATTTAAACGCCCACAAGTAGCATCCACAAGCTGTTCGTATGTATGAAAATTTATTAAATCAAATATTTTCGTAAGTCGAGTTTAAAATTATTTCTTAAATTAGCAAATATTGTTACCTGTTGAATAATATTCAGCAGCTACTCACCCCAAGAAATTTCATAAAATAGTATTTTTTAGGATAAAGAAAACATGTTAAAAATAGGTATTCTAAAATATAATTTTAAATTGATATATGACCAATTTAATACGATTGTTGTATTTGCATCTGGTTAACTAGCTCTGAAATTCACGGCTGAGAGTTTGTTACAATCAATTTTACGCAATATTGAGTGTAGCAAGATTTTAATATTTTTAAAATATTCCTTCCTTTCATTTGGAAAAGATTGGTGTTATAATTTTCATACAGAAAACTACGTCGAAATTTTTTAATCCCCATCGGATCATTATACGCAAAGAAAATTGTGTTTTGAAGTTTGTTCATAACATATCTTCCTCTTTGATGTTATATATTTTGTCCTCAAAGCATGAATTTTAAAAATTTGTACAAAAATATTTAATAATTTTACTATAAATGTGTATATTTAGTACTCTAATTTCATACAGAAAATTTACGAACTACGTCGAAATTTATAATTTTTATCGGATAGAAGATAAAACACCCTTGAAAACAAATTTTGTTTTGGATCCTGTAGTTAATTCCGGAAAAAACAATTATTTACGTGAAAATGGCATAGTAATTATACAAACATTCTGTACACAAATTTAAATTCATTTTCAATTAAATGAACAATTAATAATCCAGTTTTACCGGACAATATGATCAACAGAAATTGCTGAAACTTGTTTAGGCGCATAGAGTTAAAGTAAATTTCAAAATAAACATAGAAGACAGTATAAATAATAATAGTTGTTATGTTCGTCGCATGGTGGATGAAATGACCTTTAAAATGAGTGTTCATTCAAGTCGATAGCGTAATTAGTTCCGGAGATATGGCGATTTTTGTTTCAAGTAGATGGCGTGGCTAGTTCCGGAGATATAAGGCTTCGAAGCGTTTGTTTACATTTCATTGTTTACGTCCGCGCGAGGTCACTGACCGCGCGTGTAAATAGTAAACAGTGCGTAGTATATTCTTGGAAATACTACGACTTCCTGGTCGACAGGTTAGACAGAGACAGTAAATCTTAAAAATTACTCCTTTACATAAATTTTGATATCTCGAAAACGGAAAGTTGGATCTACATAAACCAAAAATCATTTTAAAGGAGAAAAATACTGATAATATTGAAACTACACGTAAATAAAGTTTCAGTGATTTCAATACGCGTTAGTAGTCTGTTAGTAGTCTGACGCTTATGTATAAAGTTTAACTATTTTTAATACGCGTTGTTAGACTGTTCTAATATTTTCTATTTACATCGGAGGCTAACCAGAATTTGATACGAAATTTTGTAAAAAACTGGACAAAATTTGGTATCAAATTCTGGTTAGCTTCCGATGTAAATAGAAAATATACATATGTATAGCAAAGATGAAAGGTGACCAGTTGAATGATTTACATTTTTTTGTAAAAAAAACTGGACAAAATTTGGTATCAAATTAATACAAAAAATTTTTAATTTCAAATTTGGAAAAATAACAAAGTTAAATAACACTAAAATAACATTTTAATTGAATTGAATTCCGACATAATATTTAATGAAACATACCGAGGTGATTTAACTTTAAGAAAATGTAATTTAGAAAATCAGTGTTTTTCACTTGTCAGGTAAATAGATTTTTTAACGCGAGATTGAACTTTTTTCTTTTGTAAGATGCACCAACCTTGTCCTCCTCCTTATCGCCAGTCCACGAATAAAGTATATTCTTGTTCTGCCCCATTGTGCGTCACGACGCTAACAAAGCTACTAAATTCGCAATCGCGGTTAATTTATATGACAGCGCCAGTAACTAATGCACATAAATACGTGGATGACAGTGATTGGTCGTGTCAACGACAGCGTTACATATCTAGTGAATTCTGAATACTAATTTGCTAAATTTCAAAATAAAATTAATCCAAACATACTTTAACAAACTAAAACGATATAAAAAACAAATAAAATTTATCACTGAAATTTACCCTGAGAACAATTTAAAAATTCACAAGAAATATACAAAAAGCATGTTAACTCGGACCAATAGATCATAATAATTATTCAAATGCTTGACAATGATTCACCATTTTCTAATACCTAACACTAAATAATGTAAAGCTATAAAAGAACTATTAATTTCTGTTACAAATGGAAAAGCTATATTAGTTGTATAATTGTTCGATGAAAATTAATATAATTTATTATTTATTATCTATATATATAAAAATAAGTTGTCCTATGTTCGTGATTTTATAACTCGAGAACCACTCAACCGATTTTCAAACGAGTACATGCGTTGGAAAGGTCTACTTTCACTGATGGTTTATAAAAAAAAAACATCGAAAAATTTCTACGAATATGCGTTATACGCGCACTTTTATGATGGTGTGTTTTCCCTATAATACTATTATATAAAGAGAGAGCCGATTTTTATGTTCGCGCAAAACTCAAGACCTATTGAACCGATCTTCCTCAAATTTTGACACGATATTTCTGCATACTCTAGGACGGACATAGGCTATGTAGCATGTCTCAGAAGCGCGTTATTAACATGTAATTTATATGCAAAGATTTCATGTGATCGACTGTTTGGCAGACCACGTGACCCCTGTATACGACAGTCTACTTGCGCGCGCATGCGCGTATTCGGCCCGCGCGATACCTCGCCCGTAGCAGTACTGCGATGTTACCACCAGGTGGCGAAGCTTCTCGAGCGCTTTCTCGCGAGAGAATTGCATTATCGCGGATATATATGTCAGGACGATCGTCTGGTCATAAATTGGTTTTGCACAAGGTCGGGCGAAGCCGAGACGGGGCATGCTAGTATTCATATAAGTTCTGCATAATGGACCATTATTATCGTTTCATCACCTTAATGATAGAAAGAACAGTTTAGTTTCATTTATTAAAAAATCTCTTTATGCATAGTAAATTTTTAGATCGTATCAGCTATTTCCAAGAGTATTTAATTATTTCAACTAAAAAATGATTAATTTCAGAAATTCTTGGTTCTTGATGCGTTAATTTTTATAGATACTTTTTAACAAGTTTTATTTTATTTCATTTAAAAGAAATTAAAATTCATTCGAAACGTTTTCTGATACAACCAATGAACAAAAAATTATTTCAGATAATAAATCTTATCGTCCAATTAGAATGCAGAAAATCGAACTGCCATAGACAATTCGAATTAAAATTTAAACTCAAAATCGACACGATTCGTTAGTTACATTTAATTCTAACCTGTCGCCAGGCGAACAACTTGGTTTCAATGTCGTCCATATTAATGGAAAGATATTGTCCATATTACTTACTTATGTTATCGTGCAACATGACAAATGAAACGAATCTTTTTAAATATGCTAAATACTTGCGGGGGCGTGCAATAATATATTCGCACATATGCAATCTATCTGAATTATGCTAATCGTGTACATTGTACGAGATATGGAAAATAAAAAAATACATTCGTAAAACGTTTCAATGATGAAAATTTCAGTCCTACTTTTCTATCTGGACTCAGAGAATCAAGGCCAGAGTGATAGGTTGTCTGCGCCGTTGAAACCTGAACAGTGGTGGAGATGATTCCGTTACTCGAATCTGGGGTAAAAGTTGTCACTTGCATGCGGGGAATTACTGTATTCTTGCATGACCGTAGTTGATCATGACTCTTATACGGATGCTTCCTTGCATTTGACGAGATCCGTTTTAATACACTGTGCAGGTGTTCTTGTCGCTTAGTATGGCTTCCATATCGTGTTTACAGAGCTGCATCTAACCTATCTCTGGTAGTATTAGGTCAATTAAAATCATTCTTTCTTTAACACTTTGTCACATGTTGTGTAAGTCGATAATTTTTGGAAATGTTCAAGGTCAACTTCAGTTTCTTAAACGTCTAGTTTTTTATGATAAAGCTGAATAAAGAATTTAAAATAAAAATATCAAGGTACGTAAGAGTTAATTTGATTTTGTACATCTTAGTTGTCAGATTATATTCTCTTTCTATTCAAAGTATATTTCCCTTGTTCCTTGAACAGAAGTAAATTTCAGCGATCACAGATAAGATAAGATATAGTTGTCGGTTCTAGTAAAATGGGATTTATTCTTACAACAAAGAATTATACAATAACTTATCAAAAAACTTACTTCATGTATATATACAATTGACATTGGTGTACAAAAGAGTGTTATAATTAAAGTAATTGTTTCTTAACTCGTGCGTAGCGCTTCGTTTAAACTGAACGATTATTTAGACAATTTTATCTTGCAGTTTTCAATATTATAGCAACGCTTATAACTTAACAATGCATTCGAACTCTTGACTAGTTCACGACGCTCACTCTTCCTCGGAATATTATTATAATTATGTTCAACGTGTGAAACGTATGGAAGATTTTGTTTGCTTAATTATATATACAGCTCCGCGAGTCACGTGAATCTTCAATGAGTTTAATCTCAAGGTAAAAGCTACGTCACCTTCAAATCTCTGTACGCTTAGCAGATTTCAATTATAATGTAAATTATTCTACGTATATACACGCCAAAGGGCATTTAATCAAAGACTGTATAATCAGGTAAGAGCTCCGTATAATGAATTCGTAACTGTTACAAATATTAATATTAAAAAGAGAAAAAAAGAATCAGTACAAATCAGTCGTATCCGATGAAGAAGTTTAATAACTGAACATTCAATAGTTTAACCCATCGCTTAGATCTATTTCTTTATTCGTTTAAATTTCGTCGCTGAGCACATTTGGAGAATTAGAAACGTTGATGAGGATGGTGTTCTAGGTACATCGTTTACAATTTCTCGCCGCTGAGATTGAGCACATTATAGTACGAATGATCTGGGAACCTATCCAACTCGATGTAGTCTGTCTCGTCGAGCAATAGTCCTTCGGTTAGGCCAACGAGTTCACCGAATGATGGCCTACCAGCTGGATCCTTGTCCCAGCAGTAATACATAATATTATAAAGTTCCCTTTTGCAATGTTCTGGCCTATCCAGCCTGTAACCCTCTTTGATTCTCCTCATTACCTGCAAAAGAAATTTCACATAATATGTATTCACGCTTTTCTAATCAAATATTTAAATAGTGATTGTTTAACCACATGACTCTGACTAAAAATAGTACAGTACGGTATAAAAATTAGAACACACCATGGATAACTTAATTGCCTGACCCTTTTCTACCAGAAACAGTGTTAAGTTGGTGAGAAAGCATTGAAAAGAATGGAGTTTATTTGTAGAAATATAAGACAAGAGTAATTAATTAGGATCCTTAGAGCAATTGATTTCAGTAACATTTTTATGTTTCAAGTTTTGTCAGATACTTAACACCCAATATGATTTTCATTCTCATAAGAAATGCTTGTTAGAGGGAAACATTTTCTTAATCTTAAGGAATTTCTTTATCTCCAAATATCCCATTACAGTCTTTTATACGCTCTTTTATTATACAGTTGAGTATGCTAATTAAGAACAATGCAGTAGTAGCAATGCATATAGTTAATCCACTTATTCAAACAAGAACTCTGGTTGGATAAAGAAATAATTAAAAGTACTGAGGATGATCGGTGGATTGATATTACATTAATTTTTGGACTTGTTACCAAACACCTCGCCATTTTGTATTAAAAAAAAAAATATACATGTATTTGGGTCATGGAGATGGCCACGTTATGGCATGAGACTGTGTGATCTAATGGTTCTAATGGGCCTAATGGGTAAATTTGTCTACACATATAGTGTACTTCTCATACAGGGTGAGCCACCTAACATTTGCACCTAAAATAGCTATGTCTTGAGGAAAAAATTGAATGGTACAATGGGGTTCCCACGATGCCAAAAATATTTTTGTTTTTATATCATTTGTTTAAATAGAATCACCCTTCTTGAAACACCTACAATGATAGTCCCTTTCATTAGGAATTCAGTAACATTTTTATGTTTATCTTCCTCTTTATAAGAAATATTTTCTTGTTAGAAAAAAATATTTGAATAATCTTAAAGAATTTCTGGTAATAGGTTCAAGTAACATTCTTATGTTTGAAATTTTGTCAGATACTTAACATTCAATATGATTTTCATTTTCATAAGAAATGCTTGTTAGAGGAAAACATTTTCTTAATCTTAAGGAATCTTTTAATCTTTTATTATACAATTGAGTATGCCAATTAAGGACAGTGCAGTTTCATAAGTCGATTTGAAAGGTGTTTAAAAATTAGTAAACATTGAAATACCTCGGCTGCAGCTAAACCTGGATAAGGTGTGGATCCCAACGTGACGATTTCCCAGATTAATACACCGAAGCTCCATATGTCCGATTTCACAGAGAATATATTATCATACAAGCTCTCTGGAGCCATCCATCTGATTGGCAGCCGACCCTCGGACTTCCTTTCATATATTTGATTGGCGGCAACGTCTCGGGCAAACCCAAAGTCCGCGACTTTGCACGCCCGGTTCTCGTCGATCAATATATTCCTCGCAGCTAGATCTCTGTGGATGATTCCTTTGGAGGCCAGGTACTCCATACCTTTGGCAATCTGTGACACACAAACGTTCATTTTAGAGGTAAATCAAAGTCGATTTCTCGTATCACATTCTATTAAAGATCTTAAAAACATTCTAAACAGTCAAATTTGAAAAATTTACAATGTTACAAAGCTTCGAATCAAAGGAAGGAAATTGGCTCTAGCAACCTTTAATCATTTTAAGAGTCTACTTCATTAAAATAGATAGAGAAAAGTTTATTTAATTTTATTACATAGAATTTCTATTTCAGACTTATTTAAAACATGCTTTTAAATATTTATAAATTATGAATGTACCGTGTGACCCAAATAAAATGTTACAAGCTTTCTTAGGAATCAATGAAGATATCGATTTCATTTGTTTGTAATTAAATGGTCCAGATCGTTTATTTTGATGTGCAACAAGAAGGGAGAACAATTTTTAGATTTCTTTAATGAAAGATACTGTTATTCTTTTGGTTATCAGATCTCAAAACGAGGATACAGACCACAAATGAATTTGTTTTCAATAGCCAAGCAGTGATCAATGTGTTTAAAAAAAAAAAAATACTTTTCTCGATTGCAATAATTTTTAAAAATAACAATATGTGCTTCACTTATCGTACGTTGTATAATTTTATTAGAAACTGTTGGTTTTTCTCTTCTAAAAGAGAAAGTTTTCTTTATGTAACAATAACCATCGACGCGTATGTTGCGTTTAGAGATACGAGTCAAGAGGGTGCAGCTGTGTCCCTTCCTTGACTTGTTTAGACAAAGTATAGGACCGATTGGGTCTGAGGGTACGGGACGAATTCTTCGTCACTGACCTTTCTCATTCTGTATGTTTCTTTCAATGCGTAAAGACGTGCCTTCCAAGTGTTTCAAATAAAGCTTAGTAAAAGTTATATCGTTTAAATTATTTTATTTATTCCACCACCTATTTCCAATAGAAACTTTGGAGACAAAGTGGATTTCTATTTTAGAGAGAAATGGAACAGTCAATTAATTTTTTCTCTGATGAGCCAGTCTGAACAATTCGAATCTATTTTAACAAACTTTCTGTATTCGAAGTATCATTATACAACACCTGATAAACAAATCCAGTCAGGTCCCTCGACGTTAACCCAGGCCCTCCATGGTTCCTTTCTTCTCTGGACGATCTCAGGAAGCTCTGTAGCTTACCTCCGCTCACATACTCTAATATTACGAACATAGGTTCGCGTTCTGTACAACAGCCTAGCAATCTGACTACGTTAGGATGGGGATTCAAATTCTTCATGACCCGTAACTCCTGCGCTAGGTCTACTCGTTCCCTTTCCGTAGCGTTCTCCTTCAAAGTCTTCACAGCTACTATCGTCGCGCCAGATTTCCCATCGATCTCCAACGCTTCGCATTTCCAAACTTGACCGAAGCAACCTTCTCCAAGAATGTTGAAGACCTGTTATAAACATAAAAAGGAACTTAGAAATATCGATTACGATATGAAAACATTGGAAAATTTATGATATTTTAGGACTCGTAAGCCATGTTCTTCGAGGAAAATGTTCCAAAGTTTCGAAAACCTTAACCAGTATAAACTGTCTTTGGAAAATTTAGTTATCTCTATGTTTCTATTTCTCGTTGAAGAACAGTGGAAGTGAAGGCAATTATTTATTAAGCCTACGTGAAAAATTTCTTATCGAAGATCTAATTAGGTGCCCAAATTTTTCGACGAAAAAAAATAATTTCAAAACGGGGTTGAAAAAATTATTTTCGGTTGCGGGGGTCAATTACAATCATTTTTGGTGAATAGATACATCCCCGAAATCCTGCGCATTTTCTAGAAAAAAATTCGAGAAGGTGTGAAACTTTATGACAAAATTAAAAAATTTCAAATCGTTCTAAAAAAATTATTTTTAATTGCACAGGTCAATTACAATCATTTTTGGTCAATAGAAATACCCCCGAAATCCTGCGCATTTTCTAGAAAAAAATTCGAGAAGGTGTAAAATTTTATGACAAAATTCAAAAATTTCAAATCGTTCTGGAAAAATTATTTTCGGTTGCGGGGGTCAATTACAATCATTTTTGGTGAATAGACATACCCCCGAAATCCTGCGCATTTTCGAGAAAAAAATTCAGTGTGGGCGGAACTTTAAACGTTAATAACTTTTTAACGAAGCCTCTATCAACAAATTGGTATTCTTGATTTTCGTCTTATTTTGGCCTCTAGAATCCTCAATTAAAATTTTTCTTAGGGGTGGCTGATCACCCTGTATAATTTTTCAATTACATATCAAAAGTTCTTTTTTAATGAAATGCTTACCTTTTTGTATAAAAATTTAAGAATGTAATGAATTTTCTATACTTATTAAGCTTTCTCTGCCCTGAACCTAACAATTAACGAGTTTCCACCGTTTATTAAAAATGGCCACTTCCGAACATTGTCCTTTTCAGGAGTAATATTTAAACCTTGTCTTTGTCAGACAAAATAATAATGAGATTCATGATGCTAGATATACATATCATTCATAAGAACATGTTAATAAATAAAAAATTTCAAATTGCGGAGTTTTTATTGAAAACGAGTGATATAAATTTGTACAAATTATCGAAAATGCGTTGGTTCGATAACAATTATTCTGACGATAGAATTGCGTAACCGCGTTGAACGTTATTTTGTAAGATATCGCGTTTTAATTGATGCAATTACCAACCTTCAACCGATGCCGTGGAAATTCCCATTTATCTTCTTGTTTGTTCTGCGCGCCGGTTTGATTTTCTTTTTCCCAGGGCTCGTATCGATTGTTGTGAGCTTTTGGACCGCGCCATCTTTTCAGAACAAGGGACGGATCGTCCGATATATTCGAAACGCTAACCGAGGCTTGTTCCTTCTACGCAAAAAATGAAAATCACTTTAAGAATTAACAAAATCTTGAAATCCTAAACGACGACGAAATAATAGCAAAAGTAAATGATGAAATGGTAACAGAAACAAAGCAGGCGATATTTCTCCATTCTTTAAATAGAGTTATTAAATAACTAAATAACAATTTAGAGCGTTTGACAAATTTATAGGATCAGGCATTTGTAAAATTCTCAAATGAAAATAATTAATGAAGTTAACATTTGTTATCTTTAGTTTGGAATCAAATTATTGTCTCTGCAAGTAATTTTCAAGTTCATAAATACTTTAATGTTTTATGAAGAACAAGTTCCTTCAGAATGAAAAGATCATATAAAAATGTAACTACTAAGGTCGCCAACTCGATTTTGTTGGAAAATGGACTTGCGCCACTTTCAAAATAAACGACTTGTATCATAAAAATTATTAAAATTCTTATTAAAAATCATAGTGTTCTTATAGAAACATCGTCCACTGTATTGACCATCCTGTTCCTAAAATTACACCCCCTTCAAAACGAACACAGAAGTGCTCGTTGCGTAACCTAAAGTAATGTTATTTGAAGAAGTACCGTGTCTTCCTTGGACTTCCTGGTCCCACAGAATTTATTCCGCAGGGACCAAGCGCCCATACCGAGGCCCACCACGAGCACGCAGACCGCCGTGACAGGTACCAAGGTCATCGCTATGTCTTGGGAGGGCGGTGCCTCGGCAGGTGTGATTTTCGAGCTGAGCGGCGGCCCCTCGACCTCGTTTTCCTCTGTAGGTGACTCGGGTACGCCGGTGGAGCCACCGCTGGCATCACCCTCGTTACGTTTCGTCTCCTCCGGCTGCAGTTTGGTCGTTTTCGGTATACTCGGCGGCACCGCCACTGGCGACGACGATATCACCGACGTGTGAGGCAGCCCTGGCGGTCTGGGGTAGCTCTGCAGGCTCGGCAGGCCCAGCAGAGGCGGCCGTATTCTGCCCGCAGAGACATGCTGACCCGGAAACGGGTTCCTGTCGAAGAAAAATCAGAGCAGAGTTAAGCAGCGCCCGGTTACCACTTTGAAACGCACGGATTCGGAAAGAGTATCGTCAACCAACTGGAGCATGAATAATGGAACGGACCGCCACCGGGTCCCATGAAAGGTCGTGCACCGTTCCTCGTGATTTATCGACGAAACTGTCTACAGAGTTGGCTGGGCTCCGCAGGTTGACCAGGGCCAATGCCTTTGTTTCGAACGACCACGGGACCAGCTGGCTGAGTCCATTAAAGAAACTAGATAGAGGAGATCTCGGAACGTCTCCTTCGGGAACGGACACTCCCGTAATAATTCAAGCCTTTTGCGATAGCATTTCGCAAACTAATTCTGTCTTGGATATTAAGAGCGATAATCTTCGCTTATGATGCAATTGCCAACGTAAACTTGAACCTTTTGTGTATTACAGTTATGGAAGTTGCTTTTGAAACGATAGCAAGTGCAAGTTATAGTGTATCGAAAAACCCTAATAATATATGTTTATTCGCGATGGGCCTTCCTTTTCGAGATATTTTGGTTTCAAATTTTGTACGTATGTAGTAAAAGAATTAGGATCTACTTTACAGAGATTTGGTCGAGTTACTTTTTTTGTTATTTTATTATTTTTAAATGCAAGAATATACATATTTTGTGTATCATGTATACAGGGTGTTCAGCCACTCCTGAGAAGAATTTTAATGGGAGATTCTAGAGGCCAAAATAAGACGAATATCGAGAATATCAATTTCTTAATTTTCATTCATATAAATTGTTTGAATTTTGAATCATTAAAATCCTTCAATCCGTTCAGAAGTTACGATTTTGTAAACACATCATATTTTCGGTAAAGAATTTTTTTCTCGAAGGTACTGTTGTGAGTATTGAACCTACTTGAATTTTTTTCTGAAAAGTGAGTAGGATTTCGAGGGTGTGTCTAATGATAAAAAATGATTGCAATTGACCCGCGCATCCAAGAATAATTTTTCCAGAGTGATTTGAAAATTTTCAATTTCGCCGAAAATTGTAAGCACATACTCGAATTTTTTTCTCGAAAGTGGGTAGGATTTCGAGGGTATGTCTAATGACCAAAAATGATTGCAATTGACCCGCGCATCCAAGAATAATTTTTCCAGAACGATTTGAAATTTTTTTTTCGCCGAAAAATTTTAGTATCTACTCGAATTTTTTTCTCGAAAGTGCGTAGGATTTCGGGGGGATGTCTATTTACAAAAAATGATTGTAATTGATCCCCATAAACGAAAATAATTTTTCCAGGATGATTTGAAACTTTTCAATTTTGCCGAAAAACGTAGGCACCTACCCCCATCGATTTTTCTTAAAAATTCTTTTAATAAATTTGTTTGACGCTATACAGAAATTTTGTCTAATACTTTTTTGTAGGTGCCCATGCTCCCTATTTCAGAAAAAAGTTTCATTGAAATATATTCACTATTGTAGGAGTTATGGCTGTTTGGAAATTGGACCATTTTTATTGGGTTTTGCTCTTTTTACGGGGTGAAGGAACAACTTTTTCAATATTATTAGAATTTCTACATATTCTTCGCTAAAATACGCGTTGTTTGCCGTTTGAAACGTTAAAATCCTCCAATCCGTTCAGAAGTTATGACGTTTTGAAGTGACATTTCTGGCCTGAAATTATATTTTCGGTAAGGAATTTTTTTCTCGAAAGTGCGTGGAATTTCGGAGGTATGTCTATTCACCAAAAATGATTGCAACTGATTCCTGCAATCGAAAATAATTTTTCCAGAGTGATTTGAAATTTTTTAATTTAATCTTTTAATAACTTTTTAACGAAGCCTCAATCAAGAAATTGATATTCTCGATTTTCGTCTTATTTTAGCCTCTAGAATCTCCCATTAAAACCGAACACCCTGTATAATATACAAAACTTAAATGCATAATAGTTAAACTACTCTGATTAAATTTCATTCATACCTATTTTCCCTACCACTTAATTTTGTCCGTAACTGTATGTATAAGAGGTGACCGCGCGCTCGGTCAGAATCGGTTCACCGATCGACCGACTCGACTGATTTTGTCCTCGACGAATAACCTACCTGGTGTGCCCTCCATTGGGGCCTGAAGTGTTCTTGATGGTGACGTAGACCTCGGTCTTTGTCGTGAGCTGACCGTCGGAGACGGTCACGTAAAGGAACAGGTTCTGCCCTCCCTGGAAAGAAGAAGCAAGAAACGTCGTTCAATCCCTGAACATCGGCCATACGTAGCTCGTGTTACGTTCTCATCGTCTGAAAAGAAACGACCGTATACGCGCGTGCTTTGCTCCCGTGCAACGACGGGAACTCGTCCACTTACTTAGATGTACTACAACGGCTTCTGGCTGGCTTCTAAAGAGGCGATTCATCGGCTTTGCACGCTTCGAAAATGACGGATGCTCGCATGCACGACCGGTTGCGCATAATCAGATATGCTCGGGAACGTTGTACCGAGATTCAGGCGCGATGGAATTACGATCTAATCTCCCGAGGTTATTCGTCTTGATCGATCGACTGTATTTTACAACTCTATCGATTAACTCGGAGCTTCACAAAGTTTCCCTTGTTCGCGTGGGTGTGGAAACCCTGGGTCAGTGACATTCAGCCAGCGTGCAATTTACAATTAAATTAAAGGATTACACCACGATGAAAATTTTTTGAAATCTAACTTTTTATTTATCGAATCGATAGTCTATTATTCTGAGAATAATATCACGTTGGTCTGGGTGTAAAATTCCCAACCTTTCATAAGTTTACACTGGACAATGTTATACGTCTGGTGTTCACACTACATTACTGCACCACTTTTATATTTTTACAGTTTAAGTGTTTTATTATGAACACTAATACATCATTTCTCAGATTTCTTGATAGGGGAAAGTTCAGAAATTAATAAACACTTGTCTTTCATGCTTAATTGGATTCTAAGGGTGATTCCCCAAGTTCGGAGGGTTAGAAATGTTCAACTTACGAATCATGTGAGGCTCATTTTAAGAATCGTTATTATAACGAGGCAGTAATTAAAAAGGATCGAAAAAGGGACTCATTTCGCTTTTGTGCGTTTCGTTCGAGGGATACAAATGTTCAACTTACGAATCATGTGAGGCTCATTTGAAGAATCATTACTATAATGAGGCTATAATTAAAACGGGTCGAAAAAAGGACTCATTTTGTCTATGAGCATTTCGTTTATAGGGATAGAAATGTTCAACTTACGAATCACGTCTGGGGCTCATTTTAAGAATCATTACTATAACGAGGCAATAATTTTAAAGAAACGGAAAAAAGATTCACTTTGCCCTGTAAGCATTTCATTCGGTGGGATAAAAATGTTCAACTTACGAATCACGTCTGGGGCTCATTTTAAGAATCATTACTATAACGAGGCGGTAATAAAGAAGGATCCTAAAATGGACTCACTTCGCATTGAGCGTTACTTTGAAGGAATAGAAATGTTCAATTTACGAATCACATCGGAATTTTAAGAATCATTGCTATAACGAGACAATAATTTTAAAGAAACGGAAAAAGGATTCACTTTGTCTATAAGCATTTCGTTCGATGGAATAGAAATGTTCAACTTACGAATCACATCTGAGGCTCATTTTAAGAATCATTACTGTAACGAGGCGATAATTAAAAAGGATTGAAAAAGGGACTCACTTCGCATTTGAGCGTTTCGTTGGAGAAATAGAAATGTTCAACTTACGAATCACGTCCAGATTTTAAGAATCATTACTATAACAAGGCAATAATTTTAAAGAAACGGAAAAAGGATTCACTTTGCCTGTAAGCATTTCGTTTGGTGGGATAGATATGTTCAACTTACGAATCACGTCTGGGGCTCATTTTAAGAATCATTACTTTAACGAGGTAGTAATAAAAAAGGATCGAGAAAAGGACTCACTTTGCCTTTGAGCGTTTCGTTAACGTAGATAATTCCAGTGCTATTGTCAATGTAGAAGGGTAGCGATTGCTGCGGATCGTCGTTTCCATTGAAGTTATGTCCAAGAGATTCCAAACCATAAGTTAACTGATCCTGTTCATTGTCCTCGGCGCGAGCTCTGGTCACAACACTTCCAACGGGCTCAGAATCCAGAAGTATCAAATTTCGGTCTATCCACATTACGGGTGGCGTGTTATCACTGAATTGGCTTCCTGCTGGACAAATTAAATATCGATTTAGTGGTTTGCGACTTTTAATGTAATGATTTTTTATTAATCCTAAGGAACAATGAACTGGTTAAAATCTATTAGAGGTTACCTAATAATTACCAAATAATTTACAAATGTTCAATAAAACATGATAATACATTATTTAATTTTCAAATAAACCAAGATTGTATTAAAGTGTGTAAAGATTGATGGTGGTATGAGATTACAGTAGTGCCTCGCTTGAAGACAAAAAATCGGGCCTGCCAGTTGCCTTGAATCGAGGGAACGATTTTTATTTCGAATCGATGTGTTCATAAAAAATGAACATAAAGATAATTATCATTTAGGTAACTTTTTCATTAAGATAGCGTCCGACTTTTCACCAAATTGTCTAATTCCGATTTTTATTGACAAGCATTCACGATTAAAATGAATAAAACTATATTGTCTTGGAAAGGGTATAGCCGAATAAGGGGGTCAAATGTGCCCCCAAACCGAATGGAACGAGCCACGGGTCATTCGATAGCAAAAAAAAAAAACCCTGTGTGCAAATTTTTAACTTGAAATCTCGACCGTGGGGGTAGTAATGGGGTGAAAACGAAAATCATGTTTTTGTACAATTTCTCTTGACCTATTGAGTAAAAAAATGTAAAAAAATTCAGAGACATTTCGGGTACCGTGGCACATACTTTGGGAGATTTTCAGATTTTTTGATTGAAGAACCAGGTAGTGAAAAATAAAAAACAGCAAAAAATGCCGAAAAATGCCGATTACGTATTGAAGGAGGCCCGGAACTACTTTTATACTTTTACAGTAAACAGGTATTACTATTACTATTATTCTCAATTTTTTTCAAATTTTTCATTTTGGTGCGCCGCAGTGAAAAAAAATAAAAACCGAGTTTTTCCTCATTTTCTGCGTGTTAGAGTAACTTACACGTTGAATTTTTATGCATCCTTCAATATATAAGTGTTTTGTAGACTGTTTAATGTTTCTACACTAAGCAGAATTACATAACAATTGAAACAAATAAAATAAAGCCAACCGTTGAGCGCAATATATCCTAGAAAATCAACGATATTTTCAACGGCGTCGATGGCGCAGCGTTAGAGCCCCGGCTGGGCTCCGTCGCGCAAGCACAGAACCGCGTAGCGACGAAACACGCTGCTGGGCCCGGGCGGCTACGCGCTGCATGGCCACGATGCGGCGCTGCCGCGTTTCGGCTGTCGATCTCGATTCGATAAATCGATTCTTCTCTCTCTCTCTCGGCGCTAACAACACGATTTCTGGAATTTATTCTCCGAATCCAGAATTCCAGTGAAGCTGGCTAGCAAAAACACGTAAACGGACGCGGTATACTGAACTGACGATGAAAAAATTCTTCGTCAGCAGAACCTTCTAAAATTACGCGAATTCATGATAGATACGGGAATCGCGGCCGAGTTTTTCCGTCTCGGACTCACGCGATATTTAAACAAATAGTAATAAAAATAATATTGCGTATGTTAAAAATAAAATTGTAGTAATTATTGAATATTTTGTAGATTTAATATTATTTTGGTATGAAGTTATACGTATCATTGGAAATCACCTGATACGATTTATTCGAATAATACGAAATGATTTTCCGCATGAGTTCTAATTAACTTCGGATTTTCCGAAGGATAATGAGAGAGAGCCGCGGGTGGTTTGAGAGATCGGCCTTGATACGCATTCCTTCCTGGTTTTCGAGTTCATATCGTCAAGTAGAGTGTAACCTTCCATGCTTTAACTCGAAACCACGGCTACCATATTTTCGCTGCTTCTTATCGAAAATAACAGCAGACTTCTCGAACCATATATCTGATTTGTTTTTGCTCCATCAGTCGAAATTTTTGTTTCAAGGAAAAATAGCTTATTAGCAGGACTTGATTTACGACCGTTTTTCCGCCAAAGCGAGTGTACCGTTCGCGTAAAATTACTATTATTTTTGTTTTCGTTAGTTGCTCGAGTTTAATCTTCGTTTTTCAAGATCGCAACATGTTACAATATTTTCATAAATAATATCAACTAAAACATTTATGGTCTTCGTTATTAATATGAATTTAAATGTGCACTTTTTTTTTTGTAACAGATTGAGAAAACTCGATCTTTTAATGTAAAATTTAATCGTGTATCAAGATTTATTTACATCTTCAAGGTTTTTTCGAATAACGAATATATATTAGACAAAGTAGAAAACTATTGTATACGTAACAATAGATCTTCAAATGAGAATGTGAAAATCGAATGTAATTTTATTGGACTTAAAATTATCCTTAATATCAACCTTAAAATTATTCTTATTATTATCATTAAAAAGCAATTTTTCTTTTTAATAGTCAAAACGTGATCAGGGTGTATTTAAACGTGTTTTTCCTTACAAAACTTTCTCGATTAAAATACTTTTCTTCCTTGTGCATTGAAAATTAAACATATAAAAATTAAGGCTAAAATAGCATGCAATAGAAAATTCTAAAATTTTGATTTTCAATTTTTCTAACCAACATTGTCTATTTTTGGTTAACATTACTATTTATGTAATTTTTTAGGATTCGTTGGAACATAAATTTAAAACAATTCATATCAAAACCATAAGGTAAAGTAGCATGCATTAAAAAATTCAAAAATTTTGATTTTCAATTTTTCTAACCAACATTGTCTATTGTTGGTTATTAAATACCATTACTATTTATATAATTTTTAAGGATTCGTTGGAACGTGAAACAATTCATATCAAAGCCATAGGCTAAAATCGCATGCATTAGAAAATTCTACAATTTTGATTTTCAATTTTTCTAACCAGCATTGTCTATTGTTGGCCATTAAATACGATTACTATTTATGTAATTTTTCAGGATTCGTTGGAACGTAAATTTAAAACAATTCATATAAAATAGGGTAAAATAGCATGCATTAGAAAATTATAAAATTTTGATTTTCAATTTTTCTAACCAACATTGTCTATTGTTGGTTATTAAATACGATTACTATTTATGTAATTTTTCAGGTTTCGTTGGAACGTGAAACAATTCATATCAAAACCATAGACTAAAATAGCATGCATTAGAAAATTCTAAAATTCTGATTTTCAATTTTTCTAACCAACATTGTCCATTGTTGGTTATTAAATACCATTACTATTTATATAATTTTTAAGGATTCGATGGAACATAAATTTAAAACAATTCATATCAAAACCATAGACTAAAATAGCATGCATTAGAAAATTCTAAAATTCTGATTTTCAATTTTTCTAACCAACATTGTCCATTGTTGGTTATTAAATACCATTACTATTTATATAATTTTTAAGGATTCGATGGAACATAAATTTAAAACAATTCATATCAAAACCATAAGCTAAAATAGCATGCATTAGAAAATTCTACAATTTTGATTTTCAATTTTTCTAATCAGCATTGTCTATTGTTGGTTATTAAATACCATTACTATTTATGTAATTTTCAAGGATTCGTTGGAACATAAATTTGAAACAATTCATATCAAAACCATAGCCTAAAATAGCATGCATTAGAAAATTCTAATATTTTGATTTTCAATTTTTTTAACCAACATTGACTATTGTTGGTCAGTAAATTCCATTACTATTTAGATTATTTTCAAGGATTCGTTGGAACAGAAATTTAAAACAATTCATGTAAAACAATAGGCCAAAATAGCATGCATTAGAAAATTCTAAAATTTTGATTTTCGATTTGTCTAACCAACATTGTCTATTGTTGGTTATTAAATACGATTACTATTTATGTAATTTTTCAGGTTTCGTTGGAACGTGAAACAATTCATATCAAAACCATAGACTAAAATAGCATGCATTAGAAAATTCTAAAATTTTGATTTTCAATTTTTCTAACCAACATTGTCTATTGTTGGTTATTAAATACGATTACTATTTATGTAATTTTCAAGGATTCGGTGGAACATAAATTTAAAACAATTCATATCAAAACTATAAGCTAAAATAGCATGCATTAGAAAATTCTACAATTCTGATTTTCAATTTTTCTAACCAGCATTGTCTATTGTTGGCCATTAAATACGATTACTATTTATGTAATTTTTCAGGATTCGTTGGAACGTAAATTTAAAACAATTCATAAAAAACCATAGGTTAAAATAGCATGCATTAGAAAATTCTAAAATTTTGATTTTCAATTTTTCTAACCAATATTGGTCATTAAATACGACTACCTTTTATATTATTTTGAAGGATTCATTGGAACGTAAATTTGAATCAATTCATATCAAAACCATAAGCTAAAATAGTATGCATTAGAAAATTCTACAATTTTGATTTTCAATTTTTCTAATCAACATTGTCTATTGTTGGTTATTAAATACGATTACTATTTATGTAATTTTTCAGGTTTCGTTGGAACGTGAAACAATTCATATCAAAACCATAGGCTAAAATCGCATGCATTAGAAAATTCTACAATTTTGATTTTCAATTTTTCTAACCAACATTGTCTATTGTTGGTTATTAAATACCATTACTATTTATGTAATTTTCAAGGTTTCGGTGGAACATAAATTTAGAACAATTAATATAAAAATACAAAATGTGTATTATTATAGCTGGTTTTCGTAACGCATAACTCTCGATTAAGAGCTTGAAATTAGAGATAACAGTTGTAACACCGATAGTTGGAGCAACGGTATTTTATGATACCGAGCAGCCAACTAGCTCAACCAATGAATGATTATACATTATAACGCGATCTCGCGGTAACGCACGAACGAACTGTTGTACAGAAGGTGTAAGAAACTACATGACAAATACGTTCGAGTCGTAGAAGGAGCGTGTAATAACGCGCACGAATTGTTACTACATATACGTTCGGAAATAGCCGTGATCTATCCTAATGATTATGAAATTTATCATAGATCTTGCGACCTGGTTAGTCGTATTTTTCGCTTATTCAATTTGTGTATCATTGACTGTTGCTTTCCTTAGATTT